TTCCCACTTTACAGTTGTGGGCTAAATCGCCTTCGAAAAGATGACTTATAAAATCGCGCGCGAGTGGGGGCGGAAGGGGAGAACACTGGGCCTGCTGTACTAGTAGTGATGATCGTTCAATCGGAAAGAACGATAACGCAAAAGAAAGAAGATATATATCGCTCTCAGAAAATCAAGGTCGCTTTTACTCTTGGTGTTTTGGTAAGCGCACCCCGCCATTCACGCTTCATCAACTCAGCTTAATCGCAGTGGAACTTCATTGTCTGAATTCTACTTTACTTCATTGTAGTACTTGAGCCATACGGGTACCACTCAGTTCTCTTGGTCTATGTTCTAGAATAATCTATACTGCGCTTAAAAAAACATAAAATCTCAAGTAACAAGATAACCAGAAAATAAATGTGAGATACTTGTTATGTCACCCACATAAAAAATCCTGGACTGAAATAATAATTCACTTCCGTGATATTTTAAAGAACATAGTAACCACTTAGAATTTTTTATCAGTTTTATAAATACGAAATAATTGTTATATCACTCATAAAATATCTAGATAATTTGTATCGCTCTCAACAAAATTCTATAATTCCAAGTAAATAACTACATGAGAAATTCTTTTATGTAAGTTATGAATGTGAAGTAGTCGTTATGTCACCCACATAAGATTTATTTTTTTGGCTACAATAATTCGTACTGCTCATTAGCAAAATTTCGTAAAATTTATGATACAAGTTAAACTTCTAGAAATTCTTACAAGCTTTCTAAATTCGGAATAGCTGTTATGTCACTCGCATAAAAATATTTCCTGTATAATAAATTAGACTGCTCTCAGTGAATTTCCGTGATAAGTACGTAACAAGATAACTATTCAAAAAGTTCTTTTTCTCACATTTTGAATGTGAATGTGGTATCATTCACATTATTTTTGTGGGCATTTTTTTGCGTTATTTTATAGCAGCATAAAAAATCAGAATGAACTCTTTGGTACAGCTTATTGAATGGCGGTATGTGTATCAGTACTGTTTTTCACAAATATTAGTTTTTATGAACTATCTGATCGTAGTTAACTTCAAATGAACTTATTCACCTATTGAAACATTTCAACATTGTGATGCTCTATGAAGTTCTAGGGATTTATCTAGTAAGTGAACTACAGATTTTCATTTCAAAAACAAAATGTTAACAATTCTTTCACAAGTACTCACATAGATGAATTTTTAGTACTGTACAACCATTAAACCTCTACTAATACTTTGTTATTTTGTAGGTAACTCCTCTTTAAAGTTGACTCTAATAATTAAAAATTGACGTGGTAAGAATATAGGGCAAAGGTCGTGAAGCCCATCTTTTCTAGTAAACTAAAGTGTTTCGCATTATTGCAAGGGACAATGACGCGCGAAATTTTTGACAAAATCACAAAGTCAGTGATTATTCAAAGGAAAAAAAGTTGCATGCAAAATGAGGTCACGGGGGGAGTGTGAGCGCTCAAAAGGGGGTGATTTGCCTAATATCATCGGATTCCACACAGCATAAAAGTTGTTCGGAAAATCGGGCTCAGTCCTGTGTTCGGTTTTATAGCCCAAAAGCCCATCGCTTTCTAGTCTGACTGCAGTGGAATGCGTGTGCGACTGGAATGTTGCTCGTGGGCGGCGCACTTGCTGTCGACGTTTGCCGAAAAGTTCCTTGTGATCTTCACATTAGCTATTCGCTCGACGAAAAGCTGCAATTTCGTCGCTGACGTGCGGCGGGTTCCTTCCCTAGCTGTCTGTCTCTGCAATCCACGTTTATTGCTATTTCCATGCGCTAAACATCAACGATCACTCCCAGTGTCTCCGTTACAACTACTGTAATAACGGCGATTTTTGCTCGGTGTCGTGAAGAGATCTGTGTCAAAGTAGTTCTGCAAGTGGCGGTGCGCGTTTTGCGCGAAACGATCGTCGGAGATATAGCTCTTGTGATATTTGCGAGAGAGGCGACACGAGAAAGAGAACGCAGCACATTCGCCGACGAGGCTGCACTGCTCTCTGGACAGCGCGAGCGCAATTTGCATGCAAAAACGACGAGTCGAAGCTTGTGTCGGTGCCAGAAAAACGCGCGCCACCACGGCCAGTCACTTGCACGGCGCGCGCGCCGGCACTGCACCCGGCGAAGTTCATGGCTCCTGCCCTCATAGTTCATTCTTAGTCCGCTCGTTTCTCTCCGGCGCAAGTGCACGCGAACACATCGTGCACTCAGATCTAGGCTCAACTTGGCTCCGTTGCTCTTCGTACTCTACGTCACTCTCGCAGTTACTGGGAACAATCTTTCCTTGCGAAATTCCCATCCCAAAACTTAAAATTCCCCAGCAAATTTCGCTTCGTTTGCATATTTCAGTTATGGTGTCCTGTCTACTTTGTCCACATTTTAGCACGCGGCGTGCAAAAAAAGCATCAAGGTCATGGCTTCTCGCACGTTCCGAGGTGAACGAAGAAAGGCTAGTCATTCAAGTGCTTTCCGTCGTTCGGAGATGTACGTTTTGTTCCTTTTGTTCTCTTTTCCTCACATCCGTTGCAAAATCAAAGCTTCGCAAATTTTCCGTTCTAATTTATACTTCTCCCTTATAAATACAAGATCTAGTTATATGGATTTTTGTGCTCTTTTTACCCTCTAAGCCTCTAGCAGAAAAGTTGTAAGTTTAGAATGCGGGCAACCAATTCGTTAGCAATTTTTCCACCACACGTGCTATTGTCGTGTTTTTTGCACACGCGTAAAGTGCACCTTTTTTTCTTGAAAGAGCCAACGCAAATTTTGTCTGTGTGTACCTTCCCGTCTGTGTTCTGATCACTATATGTGCACTGTCGTGTTGAATGCATTGATTCAGATCAGCCAAGACAGCCTCAGTCTCCATTTCGTTGTCGCCCGAGCGCACGACCTGCGCTGCAGCGGTGACACCGGGTCGAGTTTAGCGCGATCGAGTGCAGCAGCATCGTCGTCGCCGGCAGGCTGTTCGCCCCCACGAAAGTGCAGCCGGTAGCAGTAGCAACACCGAGTGAGGTCGACCGAGTGGCGTGCGAGCAACCGAGAGGCAAAGAGAAGGATGTATTTGAGGATAGAACAGGGTGAAAGAGGTGATTGGTGGCCTGACACGGGCCGGGACACACTCTGGCCGCCGCCACAATGCCTAACAGCGATCGGGCGCACTTTGAGCGGTGCGCGGTCGTGCCACCCCATCCCAGCCACAGCCCCAGTCCGTTCCGTTCGGTTCCCGTCCCTCCTCCTCCTCCGTGCTGCTGACGTACCCCCGCCTACAACCCGACTGGTCACTCGGCTTCACCCTCACAGTCGACCCGCATCGAACTGCGCCATCACTGCCTGTCCTTTTATTCCGCTGCTGACGGAGATATTCGCTGCTTCCATTCCTGTACTAGAGCTGCTATTCCTGAGCGACTGACTGGCCTGGTTCGCCTCTGCCCTGCTGTATTCCGAGAGGTGGGTTCTATGTGTGCTGTCCTTGTATGTCGCAGATCACGCGTCTCGGACTAGCCCAGTTCCGCTGCAGCGCCACCTAGATTCGTGCGCGACCCCAGCCCACCGAATCACTGCCGCGCTGCGGAGTCGCGCGCTGTCTGCTGCAGTGTCGTAACGTAACGGGCCGATCGCGGGCCATTCATTTGTTCGATAATTGTTTGCTTCTCTGCCGCTCGTGGTCAGGTGCGCTGTTTCGTTTCCGATCCGAAAGGACAAACGAAGGAGCAGCGTGGGTTGCGACGCAGACGAGCAGACGCAGCGCAGACAGCGCGCACTGCGGCGAGGCAGCTGATTCCGTGGGCGTGGCCGGTGTGCTGCGTGGCATTGTGCGCTGACCGGCGGTCATTGCGTCTCCTGTCGTTACCCCGTCATGTACGTTGGCCGTCAACCCGTAGATCCGAACTTGTGTTCGACTGTGTGACACACAAGCTCGGCTACAGGTGGACGGACCTGCATACTTTTCATTGCCCCCGCGGAAGTGTTCTGCACCGCTACAGCATCCCCCGGCCCCCCTGCAGGGTTCAGTCCGAGACTGCCTACATTACCGCTGAGGTAGTAGGTTGTATAGTTCAGAGTGGCATCAGTGGTGAAACTATTACAACTTGCTAGCTTGCCGGTCGGGGCTAAAGCTGGTGGTCGTGCGACATAATGCTCACTCTAGAGTACACGACATAACTTGCTTTTGTAACAGGAAATTTTCTTTTTGGAACATGCATCTTTCCCAAATCAGAGTTTGCTTTTTCTTGCAAATTCCATGTGAATCCACATTCCTCGTTTATTTTTTCTGCTAGCAAGTGATCACTATAAAATCAAGTTGCTTGGAGCAAGAGTCTTTAAGTCATCTGGATTTTCTCGTGAGATCATGCAAATGTTTGCGAATTCCTGGCAAGATTAAATACTTTCCCATTGTTTCATATGAGTTTCTGTTTACATCTTTGCATTAGTTACTGCATCTATGTGGTAAAGCGGAATGAACGAAAGGGAGAGAGAAGTGACTGGAGAGTGGTTGGCTTGGTAAACAAATGCAAGAGAGATTTTCGCAAGTCACGTCTCGCAGTACGGACAAATGTTGTTTGCTGTGACCTCGCTCCGGGCTTTAGTGTCGAGGTCATGGACAGATGTAGCGACGAGATAGGTTCGCTTTTTGATGCCCCGACGGTAGTTGCTCCGAAGATAAGAGGCTTATCAGCAGCCGCGCTCGCAAAGAGTTGCCGTAATTGAATTCACAGTATTTAACATATTGATCGTTTCACGGATGAAGGAAGCGAGAGGTCTTAGTGTAGAGTACGAACACATATTCGGGGCAGTGAGAACGAATGATCTATGCTTTGTTTGGGTTCGGTCGGGAGCAGAAGTTGGAGTGAAGTTCAGCTGAAGCTGAACTGAAGAATGTTGTGGGCGGGTGCAAAGACATAGATAAGCGCTACTATTAGCGCTATGCTGCACTCGTAATTGCAAAGAGAGCACTATCAATTTCTAGTACAGAACAAATCATGCCATCTGAATTTCGTGCATACAAAAGGCGTTGGATCTATCTATTCGTTGCTTGCTTGGTTAATTTCTCGAATGGAAATGTGAGTGAATTTGTGTGTGGCGTACGAATTCGGCGACATTGGAATTGCAACATTTGTGTGTTTGTACCCTGCAAAACTTTGCACACTACGCTCTTTTGCAGACTTGGATCACATACGCTCCGATCACTTTTCAAACCAATGATTTCTACGGCAATTCAAATGCAGCGTTGTTGTTCAACTTGATATTCATGGCGTTATCGATACCTGTGGGACTGTTGTCTTGTTGGTGGACTGATCGATACGGTTTGCGCTCCGCGGTGAATACTTGACATTGGACTAATTGACCTAGCTGTGTCGCGCAGCAGCTGCTCGTGCTCTGGAGCCGTGTACAGATTAGCTCTTGTCTATATTTCAGTTTCATATCGGTGCTTGGACTAATTTTGCTGGGAATGTGATTCGAGTTGCTGGCTCGGGTGAATGGTTTTCGAAGGATGTACGATTTCCGATAGCGTTTACTGGACAAACAGTGGCCGCTTTTGCCCAGCCGTTCGTCATGTTTTTGCCGACAAAATTGGCTGCATTTTGGTTTCCACCGGACCAGAGGGTTATTGCGAATACACTCTCGTCTATGTCAAACCCGATCGGGATCGCTGTTATGTATTCGATATCGCCGTTGATTGTAAATGATTCGCATCCAAATGCGTTTCCTCTGTTGGCAAGTTTTAGGAGTTGCATTGACAAAATTTTTTAGGATTTACTCAAATCCGTTGCGGTTCTTCAGTTCCTTTTCCAGAGTTTTACAATACCTATATGATTTATGTTTTTCTTGTCTCCAGCATTAGCCAACTTGCAAGTTGTCCTAAATCAAGATCCAATTTGTGTGTACTAGCAAGCCCCATGATGCAAATGAAAAGTGTGGAGTACGCTGGTGGTGTGTTCAGAGAAGAATCGATACCCGGGAGTCGTGGCGAAATAGTCAACTGACCGCTTTGCTAAATCCCTTTTATGCCAGAACAATTACCACGCTTCAATGCACTTCGCGGCGCTGATGAGGTAGTTATCCAGGCGCGCGCGCGTTGCAACCTCTTCAAGGAATTCTCTGTTTTGCCATTCTGCAATTGCACTAATTTCCAAAGATCAGGTTAAACAGACATTTTATAAATACTTTGTTCCTTTTCAGACCGGATTATGTGCTGGTTTAGCTACTATCACTGTCGCTTTTACCTTATTTATTACTCGTTCCAAACCTCCAACACCTGTTGCTGCATCCAGAGAATCTGATATTAAAGTACCTGCATTTTGGGACGGAATAAAAAGTTGTGCACGATCTCAAACCTACTGGATTTTGGCTATCTGTCTTGGTAAACTATCACAGAAAATTTATCAGGAAAATGGCGATCTTCACATATGACAAATTAAGGAGGAGGTGTTGGGCTCTTTAACGCTTTGTACAATAATCTTCAACCAGCTCTTTGCGTTTTGGGATATTCGGCCTCGTTCAGCGGTGGCATGGGAACCCTGCTAATCATGAGCGGACTCGTTGGTGCTGCTATTTCTGGGATTTACGTAGATATGACTGGACAATTTGAAAAGGTTCTCTTCTAAGTTCAAATCCCCGCCAAGAATCTCCCAAATACAAACTTACAGACAATGAAAGTGTCTTTTCTGCTTGGCGGTATTGCTGCTTGCTCGTTAGCAGTTTCTGTCAACTTTGAAGGTATGGAAGGATGGGTTGTCGCTTCTATTTTCCTTTTCGGTGCTTTCGGATTTGCCATTTATCCTATTGGTCTTGAAATGGGTGTTGAGGCTACATTTCCTGTAGCCGAAGCGACATCCACGGGTTTGATAATCATGATCGGGTGAGAGTTTGGAAGTTTTGGTTGCTAAAGTACGAAGGTTCATTTGGTTTACTCTCATTGTCTGGTACATGTCAAGTTAAGGATTGGCTAGCTTTTGTAGAAGAAAGAATCACAGTTCAATGGATTTGTTTTAGGCCAAGTTTTTGAAATAAGTTTTTCAAATAAGCCACAGAAAGTAAAGTCATTGAGTACTTCTTCGTCTTCCTTTTTTCCCTTGGGGGATTTTATACCAGTTAAAAACTATTAAAAATTGCCAAGTAATGCTAGCCTTCTACAGGGTCAAAAAGAAATTGTTAGTTCGGTCTCTTCAGAAATGTTATCGTGAGAGAACTTTCCTGTTTGAGTTTTTGATGTAGATTTTGAACCCTTCACCATGTTTTGATCTTTTGTAACTTCATCAAAATCGTTCTGGTGCAAATTTTGGGACCAAAGGTTATCTTCACATACCGTGCACGGTTTTTGAGCTTTATTTGAATGCAGACAATTCAATATAGTGCACGTTTGATTGAGAATACGGTCTCGTATGGACAAATGACGTCATTCTATAAGCTGTATGCAGAATATATTAGGACTATTAAATTTCCCCTTTCAGCCAAGTTCAGGGCGTTATTTATGTGATTCTGACGAATATATTTACGGGACAGCCGGATCCTCATGAATTGGCTGTACAGACGTGTGTCGACAAGAATTCCAATCTGAAGACCGTAGTGACTTGGAGCGGTCGGTGCACCCATTCCATGCAGGACCTTCTAGTATGAATAGGAGTTGTGAATATGTGTTTCAGTTCCATTTCTAATATGGGCAGGATGCATCTCGTTGTTGATCATCCTGTTCGTAGCCCTTTTCTGGCCGAAGTACAGACGAAGAGAATATGAAGCGAACCGAGCTAAGAAAGCCACTTCCGACTCGGTCCGAACTACACAAGAGGAGCTTCGTAATTATTAATTTAACTGCCAATAACAAGTGATTTGTCCTTATTGTTTTACGATTATATTTCTATCACTGCCTCGAGTATTCTAAGTATGTTCACTATTTATTTTTATGTTGCGATGGAGAAAACACATTAAAATCCATCGCTATGTCAATAAATGATAAGATAAGAGTGTAGTAGTTACTAGTCCATGACGTGGCCGATAAGGACCGCAAATTCACATGAAGATTTCTAAATCAGCAAAAATCTATTCACACATTTAGCAAAACAACGACTATACTCTCATAACGTTTTCACTGAATGCTAACTTTATCAGATATCTTGACTCGTAATCAAGTTGGTTAGAAATTAATAAAAATTCATTCCCATGATTTTTCTTGCTATGATGGTTGGAATTTATTTTAGAAATAATCAAGTTAAAATCTCTAGCAATGCTAGTAGAATTTGGTGCTTTTAGAATGCTCTTAGCAGGTTGGCAATAGTTTTTGCGAGAATTCAGACCTAGAAACACAAATTTTGCCTTTTAGGTGACAACACAAGTCTTGCATCACAAATCTCAAAATTCTGTAAATTCCTACGGATTTAATGGAGACTTTCAATAGAATAGAATTTGATAGAAAATATCATGCGCTTTCTAGTAGTGTTTAGAACAAAATTTATAGTTTTAAATATTGCAGCAGTAACAAAAAGGCGAACTCTCAGGATTTTTCTTGTGGTTTTTGGTTGCCAAAAATGCGAGAAGGTCCAAAAACTTTCTAATTTTGATTCTGATTGGCATCATTACCTGTTTTTTGAGTAAGGTTAATTCGTCCTGATTGGCTCAATGAACAGTGATTTTTAAATTTCATTTTTTTTCGATTTTGATTTCGTACAAAAATGCAATAGATGTAGCAAATTTTTTGAAATGATTACTTGAACATTTTTTAACCAGTTCTTGTGTTCTCAAATGATCTTGATCATGCAGTTTCCAGTCCTCGTTCATATCAAGAGCATCATGGAGCGCTTTTCTTCAAATATCTGAAGTTTATAATAAGCAACAAGCAGCATATACAAATAAATTGAGCGACCTAGTTGAAGAGGACAAAAAGGCGTTTCTTTTATTCTTACAAAATTTCTTAGACCAAACCAGGGTGAACAATTGGCACAGTATCTTTTATTGTTCTCTTTACTAGCATAATTCGTTAAGATTTGATAGCCACAAAATTGTCTCACATACAATCTGAAAATCAAAGAACAAGTTGTTTAGTATGGACTTTCATGTAAATTCCAGTACTAATTATGACACCAAAAAATAACACACATCAGTTAACAATAGAAATTTCAGAATTCTATAATGTTTTGTCTTGTTTGCATCACTACTAACAATAGCTCGTAACGACTTTTTCCAAAGATCCTACTTCTTCAAGAAGTAAATTTTGAAAGAGTTGTACACGTAGATCATGCGTATGTGCGCAGTATAATAGCAATTCAAAGCTCTATGTACATAAATCACATCGATGTTCGTCAATCCGATTCATCATCGATGAGTTCACGCTCGTGTAAAGCGTCGCCTATCAATTTTTTGATTTGTTCAATGGATCGATTTGACTCCCTCCACTGATCGTCGTCAAGTGTGCCTTTACCGAAGAATTTGGCTTCTTTGGCTTCAGTTTCACAGAGCTGAAATGCTTTTTATGATAGTTATAAGTGTGATAGTAAGCGGAAAGCTCGAAATAGCAGATCCTTTGGAACCGCTCGCTATAGCGGCGCTCGTCTGATTGGCCAACACCTCGCTGCGATTGGTCCGGCTTCGTGCAAGGCGGAGACACGGGTTGCGCGCTGGCATGCTCTTTCATTGTACATATATGTGTCCAATATGATAACAGGTGTCTACACCGCTACTTTGCATTATTCAAAGCATGAAGCCTTCCCGTTGACTGCGTAATTCAACGGGAGGGCTTCATGCTTTGAAAAATGCAAAGTATCCGTGTAGACGCCCGCTATCATATTGGACACGATAGATGTACAAAAGTGAAGGAGCATGCTTGTGCGCAATTCGTTTGATTTTTACCCTTTGCTATGCCCTGAAGCCTGACCAATGGAAAGAGGTGTTGACCAAGAGGAGCGCCGCTATAGCGAATGGTTCAAAAAGGATTCCCTGAATAGCTCACCTTGTATGATTCCTCGTCAGCTACATCCAGCCAGCTTTTGCATAATTTCGCATATAGAACGTAGATAGCCAAACGTTCTGGATAGTTCTTATCTCGCCAAACTTTCTTGGCTGCCAGGTTGATCTCGTAAAACAGCTCCTGAAATGACGCATTTCATTAGGTTGTATCATGACTTTTCAACTGAAATCGGTATTTCTTAAAAGTGAGGAGACATTTTGTAGAGCTTGCTTTGCTGTATCGAATAGCAACCCAAGCTGCACTCAAAAAAGGAGAAACAGAAAGTCAATAACATTGGTAAAATGGAAGAAAAGTGAAACTCAGTAGTTTACGAAGAAGATCAAAGTTGGTTATCTACGCTGAAAAGCTCTTCGTTCGCATGTGTGAATCGCAAATTATTCTCTACAACAGCGAAATCCATATATTTTTACAGGCCACATGACCCAACTTCTATTGAAGGAAGTCTTTGCTTGAATGTGGTAATCTGTTAATACATTCACGACCATATGACCCACTGGTGGGTCGTACATGTCCTGCCAATTGGGCCATACGTCTCACTGGTGGATCGTATGCTTTTTAAAGTTCTTAATTTTGCTAGTTTACGTTGAAACTTTTTGGGCAAACTTCAGCCTTGAATAAGATTAAAACCGAGCCAAGCATACATAAAAAAGATTGTGCCTTTTATTGCATAAGAAATTCTGCAGATGTTGTATGTGACAAATTTTGTTTATCGTAGGAAAACGTTAAGACCCAGAAAACGTAGAAGAAAAATATTGTGAAGGTGGTTGACTGATTAATACCTACTATAAATTCATAGATTCTGGGGTGGGTAGGGGGGTTGGGAGAGGTATTTTGACTTCTAATTTTTATTGTCAAAGTTATACTGTGAGTCCAAAGCTGCTCTAACCTTCTATATCAATCAAGTTTTTTCGTCTTTTGAATTATAAGAAATATACCCCAACTCGTTCAAAGAAATGGTGAAAGAAAAAGAAAAAAGTAGAGTCCTGGTCTCAGCCAAGGATATGAATGACGAAATAGGCCAGAGTAGAAATTCTATGGAACCAGTGCCTACAAAGTAAGATTTTTTGGAGTGACTGATATGAACCTCTTATACTCAGAGCTCATAAAAAATGATGTGATTCTATGGGCGAACCAGCTGTTTGAATTCTTGAAGAAGTACATAAAACGCTGCAGTTCCAAAGAAGTTGACAATGTCTCGAAGTCTCTCAGTGAACTGAGAATTCTAGAAAAATTTTGCATAAAGGAAACTGTTGTCATGTCTCATTTTAACCAAACATAGGAAAATCTCTTTGTTTGATGCAATAATTAGAAGAAAAGTTTGTTTGAATGAATAAGCTAACATACCTTGAGTCTGTTCCAGAAAAGCTGTCGCTCTTCATCTCTAGCGCATATACTCATTCTGCTAAATGCTTCATAGACAGATTCACTGTATAGCGATAGCCATGCACCATCTTTCCTAAAAAAAGAGTTTATTTTATTGTTAAAATACAGATTTTCACTGCTTACAGTGGATTTGCTGTGCAAAGACTAGAGATCACAAGATTTTTAGCTGTAATCAGCATAGTTAGATTTTGCTGAAAATCAGTCAGAAGTAGAAAACTGAAGTAGAGAAAATACTTCGTCAAGCAATAGCAAATCCAATTTTGCTATAAATCGTTGCAAATAAATAAATTATCAGGTCGTAACATAATTTATTACATTTTGTTTTCATTTTTCTCTAAAAACTCCGGAGAGTTAGTCTTTTTTTTTGGATATGGGACTTTCATTGGCATAATTTTTATGACGGATATGGTGTGAAAGCGATGATTTTGACCTTTATTTTTTTCCTTTTGTTTGTAAATCCTCTCATTCTTATTTTTTATCCGAGATTTCCTGAATTTCCGGGACTAGCACTAATATGAAGGGAATTTGGAAGTCTAGGCTTCCAATAATGCATAATAATTTGCCAATAATTCGAAAAATTTCTGAAAAATTCAAAAGTTGAACACTCCATGTGTGACATGTACACATAGAAAAGCTACAACGCTCCACTTAATCTTATGGTAAGGAAATTATTCGAAGCTATGAAAAGAAAATTCTCCCCCACTCTTCAAAATTCTGAAATGATTATTAATGCAAATAAAAAGTGGAGCAAAAACTCACACTAATTTGATTCCCTCGAGCAGCGTAATGCAAACATTGCATGCGTCTTTCTTCTCTTCAAAAGAAACACTATAATAGAAATATGAGCATTATGAAACGCTTGCTATATTGTCATGCTCCTTTGAATATTGTAGTACCAAACAAATCAATAATTCTTTATAGCAGTATTGAAAAATGAAAGTGAAGATGATTATTACCTTGTAAGCTTCTCTGTTATTATAGTGTTGATCACTTCCATCTCGGAGACGGTATACTCCGTTTCTGGCTCAGAGGTGTAACTGAATTCAAAGATACAAGTAAGAAATCGCCGCTGAAAGATACTTCAACATAGGCAGCTACAGAACGATAAAGTTTTGGAACAGTGCCAACACAGTGAAATAAGTTGTGCACGAACAGTCTGCGCTTATTTTGTTGGTAAATATAGTTTTCATACTGTCCAGACAAGTGAAAAGTCTCTACATGATTTTGCGCTTCTGAACCCCGTGACTCCCGACGATGTAGACCACCGGTGACCCATGCACTTCTTGCTGCCAGGGACGATGTGGATCACCGGTGGTCCACACCTCTTGCAGAGGCCTATTCTTTCCAGGTTCAGTATTTTTTCCTATTTTTCTGCACTCGAGGTAGTCTTCGGGGCTCTTAGGACCTGTAGACTCCGTCGTCCAGAAATATGTTTATAGTTGTTTACAAAACAACCTCAATCTCGCAAATAACCACAGAAAATTCCCACGCCGAAAGCGTGTGCAATATTGCGTCAAAACAGGCGTCGTCAGTGGGTTAAGCTGCAAACTTTTGGTGCATTATCCTTATCATTAGGATTTCCGTTTGATCAAAATCGAAAAAAAATTGTGCAGAAAATCTTGAGAGCCACAAACTCAAGCTAGCAAAAAATCAACATTGTAAAAGTTTTTCGATGATGATCCCCTTAATTGCTTTTACTTGAAAAAAAACTGCACATTCAACTCACTTTGTTAGTGCTTCTAGTGCCTCATCTATCTTTCCAGCTTCACCAAGTGTGCGAGCACTTTCAAATGCCTTTTCCCGTTCTGACATATCCAAACGCACCTAAAAAAGGCTTTGAGCAAACAATTAACGGAAAACTGAAACGGAAGCCATTAGTTCTTTTTATTTTAAATGACCATGTCAAGGCGCGTTGAGATATGGATATCAGAAGCAAGTGAGCGGAGCAAGCAATATAGTACGAGAAAAGTAGAGAACTTGGTGGAAGGAACTTTTGTTATGGGAGGGGGGAAAGCAGAAAAGTCCAGAGAATTTTCTCATATGAGATCGATAGTGATCCGTCGTTCAACATGTAGATTGTGTGTGTGGACGAGCGTAGGCGATCTATTCCGAGCTCCTCACTCAACCGTTGCACAACAGCTGACCGCTCGAATAATCATGCTGGAGGACATGAGCACAAATATTCAACGCATATAAAAAACCGGAACGGAAGGAGTCATAAATTAGATGGTTAATGAAGTTGACATCACAGAAAACTCCTCCAACATGCTTTCTGCCGAGCAAATATTTATTTTACAACAAGAAACAAAAATAAAGCGGCTCTGACGAAGGCGAAGGCGCTAAAGCCGAAATGCTCAAGCTGTGTTTTCATGATTTTGTTGTCATGGTAGGCTTTAATCCAGTAAATAGGAACAAATATTCCTAAAATTTGTTGCAAGCCACGCAGGTTTATTGATCGATTTACTCAGTCTAACGTTTTGGGAATAATAATTCCTTCCCTCATAATTTCCTTCCTTCAACAAATTTAATATTCCAGACGATCTCCATGATTTCTATTCATATTCATCATATTCTCCACGATCTCCATCAGGTTTCATGATCAGAAAATGTATAGAAAAATATATTTTTGACTTGGTGCAAAACTCACAATCAATCAATGCACACCTAGGTTTTCAAACTTCTCGTACAGATTATATCTTCGTAAAGTGGCAATGAATTATGGTGCTCCTCTCAATCGTTTTCAGAAAAGAAATTTTTGAACCAAAATTTTGTAGTTGCAAAATTTTTTTTTACTAATTTGGTATCTGCTAAAAAACTTTCTACAGTTTGTGCATGCATTAACATTCACAGGAACTTCTTATTTTTTTGTAATTTTCTCATTCACATTTTTTATATATTTTTGTTGCCAAATTCTTATTTTTCAAGCCTATTTTTTTATTAACTAATTTTAGTTTTATTTTATTCTAGAATATTGCATGCAGTTTCGGCGCTGATTCATCCTGGTTGAGGAAGTTATAATGAATAATTCTTCTATAGGCAACAGTCCATGAAGCTTACCAAACTATAACAGTTTGATTCGATATAAAAACGTATATCTGAGTTGTTAAAAAATCCTAGATAATTTCATTTGCCATTATTTCCTTCAAAAAACAAATAAAATCTATATCGCAGGATAATTTTCTTCGAAAGTCTTGAAGCATCACCTTCTGCTATATTTCCATCGAATCCCTTTCCTAAAACGCCAAGATAACATCTGTTTGTGAAATCGCAAATTGCGAAACAAGGAAATTACTTCTTCAATGTTTGCGTCAGAAGTCTAAAGAAAAATAAAATCGGAATAATTGAACTAGGATAAAATTTCCCGCTTCACGCGTAAAGTAAATTTGGAATTGCGGCGTCGTTACGATGCGTTCTTTTCAGAAACAAATGAAAGATGAAAAACTGTAAATGTACGCTCATCCGTGAAAAATAACTGTTTCAAAAAAATCCCATTGGATTTCTGTTGTGTATCTTGTGAGGACTTAAGTAGCTGATGAGAGTAGTTGTCTAATAAGTATGCTTGTCGTGAAAGTATCATCGCTTATTTGAGTTAGCGAAATGTAAAGTTAAAAATCATAACTGACATGTTCATCGGAGATTTTCAACAACAAAAGTTGTTCGCATAAGATCTTCTGATTTTCGAAGTTCAAAACTCCAGCGTTTAGTGCTAAGTAAAAAAATGATACTGACCGGTACTGTGTTAAGATTCATATGCGAGTAGTGAATTACTAGTTCTAAAATTTCTGTTAAAAGTGGTCTATTTAGGGGTTCTATGACCATTTTTTTGATCTGCAAATCGACAGAAGAGTTCCTTGCCCTAGACATCTCGAACAGCATAATTGTTGGTGGCTCTACATCTTAAGCTCTCAAGCTTTACATTTATATTTACTTTCTCAAAATATTCATGTGATAGGCCAAATATAAACAATTCTCTATTTCCTCCAGTTTACTCTCAGCAACCAGGTTACCTTGTACCGCTATTTATATTATGCGTTCACAACGTCGAGGTATCAGCTCTCTGCTTTCATTCCATACTGGCAATGTAGAGCAAATAATCTGGTCAGGAGGTGTCCGTTACTCTTTTTTCTTGATTCATTATCACATTTCAGGATATAGCCTTTTGGAAAGCAGATATTTGTGCATGCATGATTCTAAACTCCCTCAAACTGAGCAAAGCAAATCTCTACTCATAGCTCAAAGCAAAGTGAGCTGGGGAAACGAACTCCATATTTTATATTACTTATTCTTTGTTACATTGTCGTTGTAAGCGAGTTCTTTTGTACATCTTGTATTTTTCTAGATCTTTTCCTCTGCACCTTTATTTTTTGCTGCATCAGGGGCTTTCTAATAAAGAGTGCAGAAAGCTGATTATAAGGTCAATCCACAACGATTTTATCTCAGAGACTCATTTATGCTTATTTTCAGATACCTTTGTTAATAGCTAGTCCCAAACCTGTTCTTCTTGAACGATTTGCAATTTTTCTTGTACAAATTTTTTAGAAAAAGTAATTTCTGTCCTTGACAGGTTTCAAATATATTTATTAAGCTAGATTGAGCTTGAGATATGGTTATTAAATCTGGAAGCAAGATATCACTCATCCCGAGACCAACAAACTAGAGTTTTGCACCCATTGTCAAACTAAGCTTGGCTATGTTTTTTAACTATGTGGTCTATCCGATTTGATATAATTTGCTGGAACAAAGAAAATTGTAAGTTTTTAGAATTTGCGCAAAGCGGTTTCCAGCCCTTAGTCTTAAAATGAGTCAAAATCTACACCGCAAAATTTGGATTGTTTATTGTAATAATGATAGCTTTCAACTCCGCAGGGTCTGAAGGCTAGTCCCGAACGATGGCGGATATGAATAAGCGCTCGCGACCGCATCGCATAAAGCTTCACTGCATATGATCTGGTAGGTTTTCCGCTCAACTGTGTGATTGCGGTGCCGAGAAAATGCGTAAAATTTGTGCGTGAACAAATAGCCACACCAGTAGTGGCCTTGGCTTTGCGCGCGCAAGTGGCCAGCATTACAAGCGTAGTTATTTTTTCACGCGCAATTTTATCGCATTTTCTCGGCACCGCAAGTACACTATTTTCTAATCTAGAAAATAGAGAATTTAGCGGTTTATGCCGTGCTGCCATACGCCTTCGTATTGGAGCACATTATCTTATCCCACTGCCAACATTTTAAGTTACATTAGATTGACCTAGAACTAATAAATGGCTGCTGTCTTCTTCGACATAGTGCCTTTCTTTCATCTTTGATGCACTCATGATCTCTTTGCGCAAAAAGACAATGGCATTGAAAATAATTATCTCTCTCTCTATAATATTTTTATGATGAGAGTTTTTCGTAGCTAAAGCTTTGTGTCATACTTGCAAGAGCCGTGTTTTTGACAGCTCACTTTCAAGCTTGTCCTAACGGCTCGTATTTCCTCTACAAGTTCACGCTAGTCATTAGTGTAACAGTGTCATTCTTCAGCATTCTTAACTGGAATTTAGAATAGAATTTTTACTTTTATCCAGTTCACTTACTTGTTGAACAAGCATTATCATGTATTTTGTGACTTATGTGTTCGATAGTTTAATGCATACGCTAATTTCGAACCGCTTGCTATAAGCATATTTTTTGAAGTTTCTGCAATTTCACACTCGTTGTCCATATTTGCAGCAGCATACGTAATTTGCTGGACCATTTCTTTTTCCTTCGAAAACCCGAAGACTGCGCCTTGCTAATTCTTATTGAAGCTTTTGTCTTTGCGCTTCTCGTGCACAGCTTTTAACCGCGCTCTGTTTTTGTTAACTTTTTCTTCCGAAAGTGGTCTTATTCGTGAAGCAGGCTTAAGGAAGTGAGTGGCAGAACAGCAACCAAAGCTGCAGCAATGGAATGGGAACATCTTATCTAACTTTTACAAAAAAAGGATTAACTCACCTTTGCCACATATGTACTTGATCCTCGAACAATGTCCTGTGCTTTTCTTAGCGCTCAATCGAAAATCTTTATTGTGTAAATCTATATTCATATAGTGAACAGTGACTGCCTTATTCGACAGAACACGCGAAACTCGCCAAATCGCGTGTTTTTCGTGCTTCTTCATTTTTGAAGTAACAGAGCAGATTTATATACTAATCAAATCGTAAGTACTGTTAATTGTGTTATTAGTGTTGTGTTAGGAATTTTTTCATGATTGTAGACCTTTCATCTCTTTTTATTATTCACAATTTCTATTGTATGTTGTATATGAGTAAAGTGTGCATTAATGTTGATGATTTTAATATCGGGAGAAGCTCAGTTCTGAGGAGCTTGCATAGCCCTTTGCGATGTCTTGGCTAATTTTCAAGCTTGCGATTTTGTTTCACTATTATTGAATTTCAGGAATATAACGATCAAGATGCACTTCCTTACGAAATTTACGTGATGCTGGCACCATCAGATGAATCTTGCCAAACAAGTTTGTAAGGCTGTTTTTATGTAGCAAAAAGTAATTAAAATGAAAGATCGTTGAGACTGGCATGAGTTCTTCTGATTTTCCTTATCCACTTCTCCATCTGCAACAAATTTGCTCCCCTCCCCCCCCCCCCTCCCCCGCCCACAAAAGTGCAGGCATATATACACATATAGTCTGCTAAAGTTTGCTGAAGTCCCCGAAGTGCATTTTTGCATCGCGGAATAATTTTTCGCAATGTAAACACAATTGAGAATATTCATAGAGCACGAAGGAGTTGTATTGGCTAGGAACGAAAGAATGTTGTGTGATATATCAGTAAACATTTTCATCACGATTGAATTGACATGTACAACATCGTTTAAGAAAATGAACGATTTCGAAAAAATGTCTGGAATTTTTGGGGGAATGCAAAAATCAATGCGCTCAGCTCGGTATCATGCTGTCACGATGTTTTATAAACCTGTATTGAGTGGACGGAACCGAAAAATGTCGGTTTTTGTTTGTTTCATGAATGCCAACTCTAAATCTTCTCTCATTAAGACTTTTATACCTTTTCTCAGAATTTTCATAAAAACATTGATATCCCATAAGTTATGCATCATATGTATGTAATACCGTAACAGATGGGGATGTTTTTCAAAGGGCGATTAGCAGATCTATCAAAACATACGACTATCCATCAACTACAACATAGAATGTTTTAGAATAAAAATTTAGCGAAAGTACAGCTGTAAACCAGGCGTAGACTAGTTCTTTATCGGAGATTAGTAGTGCAAAAGCAGTATTGCAAAGAATCTAGTGACAATGAGAGAAAGATGATTAGGTGTTTAGTTGGAGGGAGAATGATGGAGAGTAGAGAAAAGGGAGTGATAGAGAATTAGAATTTATCTAACCAGGTCAAGGGCGTTGAAGGTTAAAGTATAGAGGAAGGCATCTCGTCTTGTGCGGCTACCCTTGCAGCTAGCGCCCTAGAGTTCTGCGCCAACTCGGACCACCACCTTCTAACCCCCCTCCCCTCTATTTGCGATTTTCGGACCCCCTCTACTTAATCACTGGCTCAGCTTCCACATAGTTTTGCAGAGCAGCAGATGTCTCGGCCAGGCCGACCGCCATGGCAGAGACCCTTGCTTAACTCGAACTCCGCCCACCTCAGTCGAAGCATGGGCGGCTGTGTGAAAACCTTGCGTTCACTTGTCTTCCTATTCAACTTACTGTTTTGGGTGGGTTTTTCTAGTCGTATGGACCAGTGCCTATTGTTCGAGGTATCTCTATCCAGCCCCCCAATTCATTTTGTGCTATTTTTGCCAGTGCACGGATCGCCGTTCTCTGTTCCAAATCGACAGCCAGTCGTAATTGTGCGAGAAAAAAAAACTACGCAATTCTATCTGTTTCTACTTAGCAAAACGCTCTTTTAGCGCGATAACCACGGCTGAAACATTTCTTCTAAAAAATTTCAAGTTTTTGAATCTTGAAAAGGTATTGTAACATCTACTATTTAATAATGCATGCAGACTCTCTTCTCATTGTGTTTTTAGAATGAAATTCAATTCAACGCCAGCAGTTTCGGAAGTGGCTAGCCAAAAAACTAGGAAATCCTTCCTAAAGTGTCTATCAAATCCGAAAATAGCTAGCATCCAAAAGTTTAACCATTGTGATTTTCTGAGCATAAATCAGTCGCTCGCTCTTAGCTCATAAACTTTTAAAGATCTCGGGATAGTCCAAAGAGGCGAGTCGTAAAATTGGCGATCTTCAGCCGCAAAGATATCTTTTTACACCCTTAGTGTATAAATTTGCCCCCCCCCCCCTTCTCCGCTTCGATTTATCCAACTTAGCCGTACTGTTTTTTAACAAAAAAAAAGAAATTGTTTTGTTTACAGCTGTACTACAATCTCAGTGTCAATATTTTGCCAGGTCGAATGTGAAGAAGCCCAACAGAAAATCACATTAGGCGCCACAAAGTCGTATTTATCGCTGCTCACGTGTTCGAAACGCAAATCGCAAAGCAAAGGATTAGCTGAAAGGGATATTTCTAAGCCGAGTTCTTTCTTGGGAAGTAAGAGAGAGGAGGAGGAGGGGATGGGGGGGGGTGCTGTGGATACATTTGGCAGAAGCTTGAGATCCTGTTTGGGTCTTTGTTTATGTGCATAAAGTTGCGTGTTAGAACCCGGCAGCAGAAGTGGACTACTGGATAAACAACGCATAGACTAGGAAAAACATGAGACTTGTTCAAAAAAAACTTCTTTTCAAAAAATAATCTTTTTCAATTTAGATAGCCGGAATAGTCACAATGGGCTTAGGTATTTGGCTGCTATTCGACCCTGTAGCATCAGATTTCTTCGCACTTCATTCAGCTCACCATGGTAACTTATTTTTCTGCACTTCAACAGATCAAAAGCAATTATAGCGCTACATAGACAATTTCTGCTCTATTTTAGGTTCATTTCGAACCGTTGGATGGTTGTTGTTGACAGCTGGAGCTATTATGACATTCCTCGGTTGTTGTGGATGCTGTGGAGCATGGAAGATGAACCAGTGTGCACTTCTTCTAGTAGGTGAACTTGCCAAGAATTCTTTTTTTTTTTGGCAAATATCCAAAACACAATATGTACATCTCAGTACAATTGTCTGCTCGCCGCTTGGCGACAACCAATTAATCCTCATTTCCGATTCATGAACGCTCACATATTAATCCCTGCCTCACGCCATGCAAAGGCATGTCAGCAAGATCTAAGCTCCATCCAACCGTATAGTTCTTAATTACTAATCCCATTGTTTAATTGTCCAATTTATTTGGGATCAATCAATATCAGTGCATGATACACACGAACAAGTGGCATAGAGCAGTTGTTAGAAATGTCACACACACACAACGAGTGAAACCATCTAAACAGCTGCTTTTCGGGTTTTGAGTGAGTAATTGGGCCAGAATTTTTGAACGATAATCCTGGGAATTTTTGATACTAAGGGTGCAAGAAATTGGAGAAATTTTTAAAAAATCGCACAGTATCTGCGCCTTTCTGTGAGAAATTGTAATCTTAGCCACCAACAATTTTCGAAAACATGTTGATAAAAGAAAACAACACTTCTCTGCACTTTTCTTATACTTTACGGTCATCGCTTTTGGCCTAACGATGGCCCAGAAAAACTTGTTTATATTACAAGAAGAACTTCTCTCTGATTCTGTTCAAATTCACCCTCTACAAAAAAATAAGTAAATTTTCAAAATCACAGTTGACGGCAAATATTCAACTTTTCTAACTCTCAATTCTTTTGCCAAGTCATCCTCCTCTTCACATCAAGAAACAAATGTGGGGCATAAATGCTCCTTGGTGAAATGGTTTATGGGGTGAGATGGCACTTACAATGTAAAAACAGTTCAGAGCTTCTAGAAAAATTTTCTGAGATCGTAGTTCCACAATAAATTTAGATTTTTGAGTTAAAAAATTTATATTTGAGAGATATTACATACTTGATAGCAAGATATAGAACACTTTTTACTATACATTTGTGAACTGGGACCTTAAACTTGCTAGATACTGTGTTTCATATTACAAATACTAAGCTTGTTTTCCAGTTCTTCACTCTCTTAGTTCTTGTATTCTGTTTGGAATTGGCGGCAGCATATATAGCCTACAACAAACAAGAAACAATAAGGTATCATTCTGAAAAATTTCATTGTTATGTTTTTATTTATCTAATAAATAGGCAGTACATCGAGAGCAGTATGTACGACACAATCCGAAATCGCTATGCTTACGATGACAAATATAAATCTGCATTTGACACGATACAACAAGAGGTACGTAAAAAAAATTTCACACTTTTTGCCCAGTTGCTGACTCATCACAGCTGCTAAACAACAAAGAATAGCGATTCGTTTGTGGGTTTTGGAAGAGCCGACAAACAACTTGCGATCTTTGCTTTCTAAACTTCAAAACAACTAATTTTTTTTTTCAGCTCGAATGTTGTGGTGTGAAATCGTATACGGATTGGCTGGGAGCAAACTGGGATAAAAAACACTATACTGCATTGGATAATGCTGAACCAATACGAATAGAGCACGGAATTGGTGCCGTTGGTGGTGGCCGAGGAAGTGGTTATGGTAAGCGAAGTGCGCGGAAAAAATTGCTGGAAAAAATTGCCGAAAAAAATCTGACGAGAGAGGAAGCATTTACATTCCGCATGGATGAAAACATCTCTCTGAAAACGCTCTCTGTCCATTGCAAATTGCACGAGCGCGAGTGTGCTGCTGCAGCCATAACGAGGGTGGAAGCGCCGATTTTGACATGCAAGAGCCCGTCTTTGTATCTGGATTTCCTTTTTTTTCTGAGGGATTTGTCCAGAGCTAGCACATATCCCCAGAAAAGAAAGAAGAAGAATTTTCTGCACCCACGCAAAAGAACAGCAGTTCCTCTACGGCATCTCCTCGTTGTAGATGATTTATTACGTGCAACAGAAAAAAAACGAAGTTACCGCGCTCCATTAATCAAGTGTGACATACTGTTTTGTATTAAGTGTCGAGGTGTTTGTTCAAATAGGCACCAAAAGATCTTGAGTGGGAGAGAGTGAAGGTGCAAGAACGTTTCTGACCAATGTACAAATTTTCTGAACCCCAGCCTAGTTCCGTAAGTTAGAATATAAATTTTCAAATCTCCCAGGTAAAGAAGGGTGACAAACATACTATGTGGAAAATAACCGCGCGTGCTGTGCAAACAACTGAGAGAGCGATTCTCGCGCGGGACTATAAACACTAACGTACAAAAATCTTCCCATCAACTTTCATGTTATTTTCAACAACGCAATGTATGATGTAGCTAAAACGTGATTTTAAAAGCCTATGATTACGTCTAACTGCGCGCTTACTATTGTCTGTGACAAGCCTGTAGCATTTTGGAACCCAACGTCTCGAGCCGCAGCGCGCGTTGGTGTCCAAAGCTATACGCGGACAATTGATTTTACACCAACTATAAACGCTACTGCCGCACGAAGGCGCAAAAGCGATATAGTTCGAGCGGGCGCGAATGCGTTGCGTGCGTATCCTCACCTTTATTAACCCTGCGCCTCGTGCGCTCTGCGGCCAGTAGCCTATATTTGCTACTTCTGTCATGCCTATATTTTTACCATGACGTTTCATCCGATTTGTATTTTAAGGACGAGTACCGGAATCTTGTTGTAACACACATGGAATAGAGACGTATCCAACCAATTGCGGTGTCTCCTTCACTCATGCACCATTGGAGACATATTCTGAATTTGTGCACACAGTGGTAAGCAAGCGTTTGAATTATTTATGTACCGATACCTTGTAGATATACAGTTGTTTTGTCTAACTTAAAAACATAAAAACTCTTTGTATAAAAGAATGTTTTTGAAAAGCACAAAAATGCGCAGACTTTATCGAAAGGGCATTTTAACTGAACAGTCACCATGTAAAACTTTCAATTTTGTGATGAAGTTGAAGCAGTCTATATACGAAGTTCAGTTTCTAAAAAGGAGAGCAGAATTTTTGTGGTTGTATGTGCTCGATTAGTCTGATCTCGCGAAAAATGTTGGAATACTGTTCTTTATTAATTTCAAGAATAGAACAATTTCACATCTATACGCGTTTTCAATTTTTCTATGGTCATTCGAACCCTCTACCTACTGCGAAGAATATTCTTCGTCTATAATTCGTTATTACTTACATAGATTGGAAAGATTTGAAACATTTAATAAGTATATGTGAGTTAATCGATAGAAAATTTCGCATTTTTAAGTATAATGAGAATGGTACCAGATTCGGAATGAAGAATGAACTCTAAAAATTCACACATGATTCTCCAGACGAAAATTTATAATAAGTCGCAGAAAAGATACGTTTTTCTTTTTGATGAAAAAACATATTCATACCCGAATATCGGGATGTAATCAATATCGAGATGCTTCGCGAACAAATATATCTTGAGTTCAAAAAAAAAACTTACGATTTTTATTGTCTTTGAAGATTATCGGCTGGTTTTGGAGTTTCTGTGAAAAACAGGCAGAAATATGTTCAAAGTGTCTCTTTTCAAACTTTGCTATTGAAAAGGCAAAAAGCTGGAATATATCAAGTATTTCTTTATCCTTCTAGTGCTTTTTTTCTCTTTCGTAAAGGTTCAATCAACATAACCCACGCTGCTAAACAGTCAAATACTTCCGAAACTTGCTTTGGGTATATCGAATATCTCAAGTTCATTGCAATAAGTAAAGCCACATGGTGTTATCTATCTTACGCTGCAGAACACAACCACATGACATAAGTTTCCGATGTGCCCTCGTGGGTGAGGTATTGCACATTTTGCAACGATTACGGAACGAGATAAGGGATTGGTTCAGCAGAATCGAAGATTCAGAGTTGGAAAAAATTATTTATGCGAAAAATGTGGAAGTCTACTGTAACCTTCACAAAGAAACTAACTGCTAGTATCACCTATTACTTTAAAAATATATCATAAACAAGCCAGAAAAGTACATAGACAACAAAATTAACCGATTTTGGAGACCAGGCAAATCTGGGGATGTGGAATTCGTGAAACTGATTGGAAGGCATAAAGGCACCGTCCACCCAAATTGGAGGTGACGAAATTTTGATTTTATATGATAGCGTGGTCCCTAACTAAGCAGTTGCCCAAGTCTCGCTGCAAAAATGAATTTCAAAGTAAGAAAAACGCTTTAGAAGGTAGAAACGGCGTGGCTCCACCCATCAACGTATGGTTCAAAGATAACAAACTCAAGCTCGGCTAGAATGTATCCAGGTTGTCATAAGCCCGCCCTCCATCAAATTCAACAAAATTGCGACCTTTTCTACCTTAAAGCGTAATTTCGGACATGTAACTTCACACCACCCACGTTAATGGGCGGAGCTAGCGTTCTTGCTTCTACCTTCTGGAGCGGTTTTCTCGCCGTGGATTCCAACTTTTGCAGCGAGGTTGGGGCGATTGCTTGGTTAGAGGCTACTACATAGCATCAAAATCTCATCATCTTTGATTTGAGTGAACAGTGCCTTTAACATAGCCAGTGCCCGAGCTGCAACTTGTATGACTCAAATATGCTCGAGAATATAAACTTCCAACTTCTACACACACCGTACTCCAAGCGCACCAATCAGCGTCATCGGACGGTAGAGAGTACGATCTGGGTCGGAATTTAGTGTTGAATTTTTCGGCCACAGATCGATCATATGAGCTAAACGGTTCGGGCCATGGCTCAGGTGAACTCGAAATCAGTTTCAACTAAGGAACCCAGATCTAGTGCTAGCTCTAAGGGACATACATTTTCTAGGGGTGCGCAAATGCCCTCTACGACATGATTCACCGTAATTTGGAACTCGCCATCGCACTAAGCGTTTTTGTTGGTGCACTACAAGTAAGTTAAAATTTGGTATCCCTCATCACACGTTTACTCTGTTTGCTTCAGCTGTTGGGAATGATTCTGTCAATGCTTCTTTGCTGTTGTATCGGTGCACAAGACAAGAAGTACGAATATTGAAATTGCTCAAATGGTTCACCACGATTGATACGAAGATGGTACTACTTGACGATTCTCATCAGCACGACTGTAAAATCGTCTATTTTCTAATGGAGTATCCTGGCGATAACTCAAGCGCAAGGTTTGCTGCCTTTGTAGGCCCGGTTCTGTATAGTACAATTTTGCATCAGGTTGTTCATAACAGAGTGCTAATAAAGAAATGCAAAAAATTTCATCACTCTATAATGACACGTAAAAGTACAAAATCAGCAAACAATAATTCTTGGAAAGACAATAACAACATCGAGCAATCTCACGGATAGGAGAACGCGTAAAATGCAATTTGAAGTGATTTTTGATGATACCAGAATGAATGCCCAGCATAAAGGCACTTATTATACTGATATAGTGAACTGAATATAATGCATTATGCAGATGAAAAACTATGAGATGCTATTATCACACACAAACTACAGCAAGTGTCCTACCAGATATCACATACACTGTTCGTCCTTCGGACAAAGCTTCCATAAATGTATATATCATAGTCATTACATATGAAATTGATAGAAACTCTTTTGAGCCAACAGATCACGTACTTTCCGTTTAATGCCCATGCACCCTCATTTAGTTTTAAACCGCATTTCTTCAAGAGATTTAGAAAAATACGAAATGTTACATGAACAATCTAAATTTTGATCAATGAGATACAAGCAAAACGTTGAGCTCTTGAAATACATTTTGCAAGAACCAAGCTAACCGGTGTCATTTTCCCTTGCTCGTAGAAAAGGAATATACCTACGCAACGTAGTTTTTCGATTGTTTCTATGTTCCGAATTATCGGGCGCCTGAAGCACTCCCAACTGGGCAGGTGTGAGCTGGCACAGAGCAGATGCAACCGCCAGTCCGGATGTGCCGTTCGGAGTGGTTGCTCGGCCTCCGGTCGGTAATCGAACCGCCAGTGTGAAAATTCCAGATTTATAGTTGCTGCACGGCTCAACAGACAGAGGAGTGGGTCCATGCACTGGGCCGCTAGCCTGTCAATGAGATCTCGCAATAAAATAGCTTTGAGATGCGCAGTTTGAAATTGAAACATTCTTTGAAGAAAAATAAGAAAAAAACTCCTGTCTCCAAAACGTTTTCACTACTAACAAGGAAATGGTCAGAAGTCGAAGTGACCAATCCATACAAGCTGCATACCTTTAAATGCAGCATAAAAAGCTGACTCTAAATCTGTCTTCGTTATCTGCAGAGCGCTTTTGTGGACGGAATTATAAGCCTTTGAAGGCCATTATTTTGCTAAGAAATTGTGCGTGTAAAGTGCAAACTTGGCCGTACAAAGCCATTCTCGGCTCAGTGTTGGACCAAAACATGCAAGTAGATCACTTCATATGACCCATACCTGGAGGTGAGCTGAAAAAGCAATAATGTGCCTAATTTCGCAATTTTTGTTTACGATTTTTTCGCAGTAAAGCTGCCCATAACTTCGCCTACAAAGGCGCTCTGCAGATATGGAAGACAGATTTGAAATCAACATTCTATACTGCATCGAATGGTATACAGCTTGTATGGATTGGCCACTTCGACTTCTGACCATTCCCTTGTAAGTGAAACCCTAAGTTAGAAGCAAGGAAGTCTCAAAATCAAAACTATTATACAAACCATTTAAATAATTAGCGAATAATCAAATGATAACATAATTGATTACAAATTGAACTGACCATAAAACAGTGCGGATTGGTGAGTTCCAGCTTGATTGACGAAAAAGGCCGTGAAGCCATCTAGATTTTAATAAAAATTGGTCAAAATATTCCATCACCGTCTTGTACTTACGTGTTCAATCTCATCAATTCTCCTTTGATTTCTGCGATACACTTCGATGCGGAGTTTGATCATCCACAAGAGACCAGCAACAACTAACAGAACGATGAAACAGCTGAAAACATCAACAATAATTTGGAGGAAGTGAGAGTATAAGTATCAGTGAAACATACGCAGCAAAAATGACGAAAAATAGAACCCAGTTTATGGGAGGAGACTGAGCAAAAGACACTTGGATTTGGATCGGAGTGGTGAAGTTGAAGACACGAACCTTAAAATCAACTTGATTTTTCCATACTCATACTCGAAACACTTACAAAGAAGGTGGTATTTGCGTCAGTCCCATACGCATATTCTGGGTCAGAAACATAAACTCGCCGGAATCCTTTCGAGTCACATGTGGTATTGTGCTAAAGAAGGAAACTGTCAGTTACAGATCTTATAAAGGGCTTAAAGGATGAGAATGGAGTACAAATGATAGAAAAAGCTCTCGCACTGAGACTAACCATCATCGCTAGGTGTGCGAGTAAACGAGCACTTAGCTAGTAAGAAATGGCGAAGTCTAATGAGCCCACTAGGAAAGCATCGAAAAGAAGAGCAGAACCGTATGGACTATGACAAAAAGTGCAAAATCATAGCTTACGGGCCTCAAATATCAGCGCGAAAAGCATTAGAGGCGTCCTTCATACTTGCTCGTGATCCAAAACTTAATAGCAAAAATGAAAAGTCATCCATTACAAGTGATCTAATGCAGTATCTGCCTTTCTGTAATCTACAGATTGTCTGCAGGTATATAGGCAGTCTCTAGTATGAACACTGCTCATTCTCGACTCGCAATCAATTGAGAAAGTTCCCAACAATCACATGCTACACTGGTGAAAACAAATGAGTGAACCCCTTCTTCCAAGCCTTCTACTTCCACAGAGGACGAATCAATTTAAACAAGTGAAAGGGGTGTTTGTCGGAGAACATAGATTGAAGTGTCTGACTACTTTCAGGCCTCCGACGGCGGCGTGTTGCCAAAACGCAAGGCAAATAAAGTGTATCATCATTTAAAAAAACCCTGCACGCATAAGAAAGTCATTGTAACGTCATTTGAAAGAGGATGCCCAGGCTTCAAGATAAGAGGACATATAGAATACTAACCATCATCTTTCTAGGATTCGGTTGTAAATGCGAAGAAGTGATGTTCAATGCCACATTCGCGCCCGATGCTCCATCACAGCTTATTTGGAAGGAAACATCGGTATCCTTCTGAAAAGAACAAATCAGTTAAACAATAGCCACTTCAAAGACAATATCTGCATCAAACAGTACGAAAATGCACAATCCATGAAATTCAAAATAACAATTTTTTGATAACGTCAGTATCCAAGTCCAGTAAATGTTGCCTAGACTAGAAAGATATGTAAAGTACGGTAAAGCATAAATTGATAAAGAACCGCTCAACAGGAAGCAATCGAGATATCAAGTAGTTCTAGACAGGTACGTCATACTAAAGAAACTGTTGGCTAAACCAGAAGGAAACAAGCTCGTAATTTCTAACATTCTCCTCTTGTACAAGCCGCTGCTATCACCTGAGCTTCTGGGAACTAGAACAGATGAAACAGCATGATTCTTGAAGTATCACATGCCTGAGCGTTCAGATTTTTACACTGATAATGCACGATTCAATGTGTTCTGACGCAGTAACCAGCGCAAGAGACTTATCTAGCTAATGCTTTTATCAATTACATTTTAATAAATAGATAGAATTAAAAAATAGGTATAGGTAGTTTCATACTGCAGTCGCTGCAGCAACGGCAGTCAATCGATCGATATCTTTTGCCCGCGCCGATTTGACTGCAGCCGCTGCAGCGACTGCAGTATGAAACAACCCTATGAAGCGAGTAGCAATCTTTATCCTGCTCCTGCCGCTCGCAATACTTCTTGCAGCACAATCTCCACAGCTCTCGTGAAAAATATTGAGGTGAAATCTCGTGAGAAAAGATGGATTGGAAAAAAATTTTTTTTCAAAAAAACGAATGTTCCTACAGTAAGCAAATGCGCGTGTGTCTCAACACAATAAATCACAAAAAAATTGTCTGAATAAGCTTGCCTTGTGTGGAATGCTAAAAAGATAAATTTCGGTCGCGTGCCTATCCTTGTCTTCGTTTTTCAGCTTGAATGTGAAGATAAAGTCTACACTGAGCTCATCTGAATTACGAACATCGGAGCGATAAAATACTAATGAAGGCGATGAGAACTCACAGTAACAAGGAGTCCCATTCTTAGGCGTGCCATAGTACTTCTGCTCACAGCGGTCGCATTCATTACCTGTCACACCTTTCGTTCTACAATGGCATGCTCCGGTCACGTTATCACAAGTATCAGCTTGCCCGTTGCACTGACAAGCTAAATGTATTCCATTTATTTTCAACTGATTAACGAAAAAACCCCTTCAAGAGTACGCACGTTTGCAGTGATCACCATTACGTGGATCTCCAAAGTATCCAGGCGCACACAACTCGCAATGCTTCCCCATGGTATTGTCTTGACATTCTCCACAAACTTCTTGAATACCCCCAAGCGAATGACGTGTTTCGTTACACATAGAATGCCCATTACACTGGCATGCTAGAGAATGTTTATGATGAATTGTAAAGAGATATTATTGAAAAGAAAAAACAAACGGCACAGACCTGGACATTCTGTGAAGTACCACTGTTTGCGATTGAAGTCAGGTCCAGCATTCAGAGGACCTTGCAGTGATCCTTGGGTGCAGTTCCCCAAACCAGTATGTGAGCCGTCGTCCAGCCATCCACAGCCAGGCGAAAGCTGACACTCAGCACAAGTTTTGTGAGCAGAGCAATTCGAAGACTCTGAAATCTCAACCATAAAGCAACTCGGGTATATAAATACAAAATCGCGAAACAACAGCGTCAGAGAAATCGTGATTGCAAAATCATAAGCATGAGACAGAAAAATAAAAAAAAAGATAAAAATTGGTGCTCCTAACAATGCTGTGAAAAAATTCTAACAACAGTCTAATGTGCAAATCAAAAAACTAAACTGCGCTTGACGGGGCAAGCGTATACAAGCTGCACATACCTATTCTGCATGACTTCGAAAAGGCAAATCCATGAGCATGACCAGCAACCCACGAATGGCATTGTCCATACGCAAAAGATAAGGCGTATGCTTCCATGTTTATACATCTAGAACTTGGCTTTGTCAGTGAAGATAAGATGTGCTAAACTATTCTCACCTATTCGTGCTGGGACACCACATGCACTTCTGTTCTTGGAGACACTGAGTGCAAGTATACAGAGAAGAACACGGGAGAGGACAATAAGACAAATTTTGCCCAGGTGGAATCGGGGGTGGAGTGGTGGGCAAACGTAATGGCAAATTGGACGAAGCCACACGATCCAGCTCACGATCAAGTTGCTCTTTTTTCAGTAGTACTACAAAAATCGAAAATGATTACGTCATCTAGGATTACCTTATAGAAAAAAAAAGCAGCAAAAAATGTTGTCCTGAAAAAAGAGCAAAGAATATAGAACCTACTCTCATCCTCAAGAGGTATGCAAGTAGGTTTCCCTTCAACCGTATACCAGTTACAGTGAGCCAATAACTTGCAACTGCGACAATCATTAGCCATACCGCACGGACGCGGTGGTGGCGGATCCCGAGTAAGAGAGCATTTCTCCCATGCCGTTAGCATCACCTGAAGAATTATGAGCTCAAGAATTCTACTGTGAATATCAGGCTTCTGTGAGTAGCACTTACTTGACCGTCCACACACTCGCCATCATTAGCAGGAAGGCACTGATCTCCTGAAGGACACCAACCACAACCCGGCTCTGATATGCACGACATACAATCGTTTTGCTCATCACATACTTGCAGCGCTTGTCTAATATAAATGAGCTAAAGACAATATTTCATAATAATCAGATGGCAAACCTGAGCGCTGTATTCCTACACTCCGACATAGATTTTGGCGATTCATTTTTAACAAAAGACAGAAATGGTTGCTTATAGCTGACGAACGGATCAAATTTGACACAAGTACGATCAGCAAACACACACTTAACCCCGTCGGTTAACGAACGGCACCCTTCTGGACGCGTTGCCGATGCACACTCGGCTGAAAAAAAAATGCAAAACTTGTTTACTGTCATTGCATCGATATAAAATAGAGGTTTAACCATGAAGCTCGCAAACTCAGTTCAATTTTTTTAGTTCAACATACCAGGAGTAAAGCGCCAGACGTCATTGAGCATTCTTCCGTTGAATCCACCAATGATAAACAATTCATTACTTGTTGCAACAGCAGTATGACCATATCGTCGTAGCTGAGACGCACCGGTTGAGATATTGAACCACTGCTTGCAGGCTGGAAGCAAAAGTCAATTGAAAAATACCTATGAGGGTTCAGAAGAAAAGTGTCTTGTTCGATTACAACTCAACCACGTAAACAAACATAGAGCATAAGGGACGCTCATGAAGTTTGATAATTTGAGAAGCGCAATCAACGAGTTATAAGCATTTCATATTTCAACAAACGATATCGTTATGTGGATACTATAGCGAAAACGCACCAATGTCATATGCTTGTACCATTCCAGAGAAACACTCCTGTTTCGGCCTTGATTCACTAATATTGTAGCCATTTCCACCCACAACGATCATCAAACCATTCAAAACCGTAGCAGTGTGAAGAAATAGTTGTACACCCGATGGAGGAAGGTTGGTCCTAAAAATTCAACCATGCTTTGGCTGCAGTGTACAGCAGTTAAGGGGACATTTACCATTTTTCATGCTTGATATCATATTTCATCAGACTATCAGTGAGGTTGTTCTGGGAATTAGACCACATCGTTCCACCGTAAACCAAAACTGCATCACCCTAAAAACCACTTTCTCACAAGCAAACAACTTAAACAATGCATGAAGCACAAAAAGTCCCTTCAAAAAACATGGGCACAAAAACGTACAGAATCCATTTTGTAATGAACAGATGAATGGCGGAAGCGACCATAAACTTGATCCTTAGTATTTCCAAAACGCCACCTTCCAGTTTCTGAACAATAAAAAAATAAACAGGTATACGAAAGTTGCATTGACTCACCAAAGTTGTAAATCTGCACATTATGGACAAATCCGATTTCCGGGTGATAGCCAAAGAAAATGTACATTTCAGAGCCGATAACATGAGCAGTATGCCCAGCAACAGATAGCGGAGGTACCTTTGAACAGCGAAAATGAATAGAACACCGGCAAAACATGTACTTACCATCAAGTCACTGTTGTCGCTACCCTCCTTTCTCCATTCTCTGGTGTGAAGATCGAAGCTCCATAATTCGCTCGTTATATTTCTCCGGTCAATGACACCACCAAACATGTATAATCGCATCTGGAAAGTCCACAATACTGCCGGAGTCTTATTCAGAAGAAAGATAAACTGAGTGAAACTACAGGAAAAAAGCCCACTTTGTAGCGAACTAAAGTGTGGTCGAATCTGGCAGCCGGCTGTAAGTCTCCCTCCACAGCGATGGTAGTCCATGATCGAGAGGTGATGTTGTAAACGACAGGATCCTCAAACTCCACTCCGCTGAAGCGTTCACCACCTAAAAACACTCATAAAAAATTCGCTCAGGCAACTATTCCACCTTACCTATGCTCCAAATGGCATCATCGATGATAACGGACGCATGAGAAGCTCGACCTGTCACGTCGTTTTGCGTAGGAATACGATCCCATACGGAACGACCTCTGTGAGCGTCGCAGGTATCACCTGAAGCAAGCAAATGCATGATAACGGAAAAAAAAATACATAATTGTAAACATCCACTCTGTGAACAGAAAACCTAGCAAACTCGACAAATTACTTGCTTGATTTAGGGAAAAAAAACTTCCAATGCACCTGCCTGATACAGGTTCAAAAACAAAAACATGAAAGTCAAAGGATTTTGAGCATTCCATGCAAACTCGGCAAAATGCTTTCAAAATAAAAATTTGCGTCAGATTGATTCCTACTGACCATGGTAATTGTCTGTACAAGAGCAGCGAGAGTTTCGGCAAACTCCACCATTTTGGCAAGGACCTGGCTTTCCTTCCTCTTGTTCTGTACATATATGTGTTTCACAAGAGACACCTAGAATACATGATTGAAACAAAGTATAGTGTAAAAGTGGTGTTAAATAGAGCTAGTGCTCACCCGTATAACCTGGCTTACAGTTACACTTGCTATTTTCACAATTACCACGAAAATTACAGTTATATGGGCATCTGTAACAGATGTACATTGCGAGGTTCCAATCAATTCGAAAGTAAACTCACTTGTTGAACTCGTAAGATATGTTGAACCCGTTCAAATTCATAGCTAAATCACTGAAGAAATAAATTAGTGCTTTACCGGAAGGGGCGCTAATTTCTTGCACTTCCTGTTCACCACTAAAACGTAATTCATATCGTTCGGTCAAGAAGGCAAGAGTGAATCGACACACCAGAAAGCAGCAAGTTGTTCACCGTATACGCCATCACCATCATAGATGTACACAAAGTCCCAACCACATTCAGTTTGGAAATTCTCCAATTTGATATTCAAAGGTGCGCCAGACTTCTGAAATCATATTTTAAGCGGGCAAAAACGGTGAGCTGTGCTAACCTTTTCATTTTCAATAACCCATGTACACTTCGAAGATGAGCTGTAGTCTAAGGGGCCGTCAATGAGTTGGCTCTGGTTTTCAGTAAGCCTAAACAAACAATGGTGTATAATCCGTTTTGACTGGATCACTGGAATGTCTAGTATTTTCAAACGTAACCGAAAACTCTTCTAATCCTGTTTTATACTTACTTTATTCGCCCGTAGCAATGATCACATTGACTCCCAACCCATCCCTTCGAGCATACACAGGAACCATTCAGGCACACACCATTGTAGCAATGCCGATCACATGAAGTTGACAGAGACTAAAAGCAGTATTTTAGCTTTAATGGAGGTCAGAACAAAAATGACGTTACCTATCATTAAGCATTTAGTTTGAAACAAGAAATAATGAAATTGAAGAATGAAACTGGAGTTGATTAATAATAGTGAGAAGACAAAGAAATTGGATAAAACACATATACACTGCTGAAAACTCAGCAATGCAGGATTGTGACTAGCAAAAAGCGGCCCACTTGACAACAGATGATAAGAGGTTCTTTGGTAAAAATGGTTGGAATTCCAGTCTTAAGATAGGCAAACATTTTTTCTAGTTTCAGAAGCCACAATAAATTGTTTGCAGATTGGGGTGATGAATGTTAAGAATGAACGGCCTGTTTCTCGCAACTGTGAAGTAAATTCACAAACAGACAATGACTTGATTCTGCAAACTGATTCACGATGACTGCGACATAACAAGTTCAGAGACGTGTATGACTCAAACGAGTATTTGATGAACAATGTGTTTTAACTTCCAAAAACGATCATCGACTCGACTTAAAATGCAGTTTAGAAGATGTATCGGAGGTCCAATACCACACAAGCCCTCATTTTCTCAATTTTTTTTCAAATAAGAAAAGTAGACAATCTAAGTAAAAAGCGAAGCAACTAATGAAAGTCAAATTTGCGAGCACAACCCAGTGATATTGTAAATTAGCACAAAAGGAAGAGGAAGAAGAAAAGAACTCGAATTCAAGATAGTTCAGTAAAAACTCAATTCCGAGCTCCAAGAATTGCAAATTCAAAAATATGGAGCGGACTGCAAAATCATCTGGTATTCTTTCAGCAACAAAGAAGCCATACAAGTGATGCAAAGTTGAAACGCAAATCTCTTACCTTTTCCAAATCAAAACTCGCTTGATTGGCAAGGACTAGTAGCGGAATAAATAGAACCGTAACTATGGATGAGGTCCATTCAAACGGGAGTGGGTACCTCCCACGATGAGCGAAAAACATCACTCAAACATTGAGATGAGCCTAGAATTGATAGCATTCATTTCGAGAACCACTCCGTCACACAGCAGATTGAATGAGGTCGGCGGTACACGATGACGCATCCACATGTTCACTACGCGTGATATAAACAAAACATTACAAAAAAGCATCGAAGTGAGAGCATGGAAGAAATGTAAATATATTGTGGATACAATACGAAAGAAATGTACACATAAAAGCTTTTAGGCGGGACAAATGCGAGATTAGCATTTGAATTCGACAAATCTGAACGAGAAAGCATGTCTGTACTCTGAGCAATCCTGATAACTAGTCACTCTTGATAAAATAAGACAGATAGAGGAATGTTTGGATACTACGAAGCGCAACGGAACGATATCTTAAGGGAATAGAAAGGATTAGCAGTTCAAATTCGAATATATGCGCTAAAAAGTAGCTGTTTTCACCATGATCCGATAAGTGTATGATGGCCAGACAGTTAAAAGCTTATGATAAGCATGCCTTATTAGTTCTAAAAGAGGATCAATCGATGAATTGATGAGAGACGTCCATAAGTGGTTGGGGAATGAACACGCGTCGCACCCGCACGCAACCGATTGGGATGCCCGAATAGGAAGTCGTGAAGACGAACTAGCACACTCAGAAACCTGTACGATGGTTCAGATCTATGTCGTTTCTGCTACCAGCAAAACTAGAATTTATAGTCATAATTTGAACACTTGTCTATTTCAGTTTAATTTGGAAAGAAGCACCGTAACTGCATGTTAATGCCGTCAAACTAGTACTTTGTTTTATCATAGAATAGATGACCCCGTGCTTTCTTTTAAGTGCCGCGAACTTTATCTATCAACGATGTTTTGTTTTGTGATTCAAGACCGTTGGTTTCATCACCAACATAATAATAAATCTTGGATGGCTTATAAGATCCTTTGAGATGATGAGAAATAAATGGAATTTTTTTATTTTTGGAACTGCAATGCTTCAAGCAAGGAAAATGCAAACCGGGACCGTGAGTGAAATTGCACCAAGTCTGCACTTTTCCGAACAGATGAGGAATTCTCCTCTGCCAGGCTTTCCCTCCCTCATTCCTACAACAAATTAGATTAGCACGCTCTGCTGCTTTTGACACTAGTTCTAGTCAGCTGAATCATAACTTGAAGGCTTAATTAGCATGCGCTTCGAATGACGTTGCGTCATACTCAAGTTTCTTTTAGCACACTTTCCTGTCTGTATACTAACGTCTTCTGAATGATACTTTGTACTTTATTTTGCTTACTTTTCTTTGCGTGAAAGAGCTAATAGCTTTTTGTTAATAACAAATGTTAGCGAAATTTTGCTTTGCTGGTTTTTCTCGCTTGAAGGAATCTTTTTTTAATCATCACTGCAGAGTGGATGTTATGAATGATTCAGGACCCATAAGCGGGTGCCGAAAATTTTTCCACAGTCTGGGTTTTGCTCAAAAAACCGTGTTAATAGTAAAGCTAGACTTTTTCATTTTTTAATTTCTGTATTCGAGATTTTTCGTTTTGTGATCGTAATCACCATACAGCATCCTGTTTTCTATTTTGAACTCAAAAATTTTAGTATTTCAAAAGGTTGTTTTTCAAAGACTTTGGAAATCGAAGGACCACGATGATTTTCACTCTTTTCCGCTTTGTTTGTCTTCGTAAGGTTTGGCAAACAACAACTAGCGCAGTCATACTTCACAGTGGTGTCGTGAAGTCGACTTGAGATGCTTGGCATACATGAATTTTTTTTTCAAGTACTACCATATTAGCAAACGACGGGATTTTCGAAGTTTTCATCTGCGCAAATCCGTAAGTAAAGTGTATTAGTATTATTATTCTACAGCACCAGAGAACGTGTTTCACAACCTTATCAGCGTTAGCAAGCATGCTTGTAATCAACCTTCGATAAGGATCGGCACTATTCTTAGCCTACGAATATGGTAATCAATTCTTCTGCTTTTTCTGCCTCTTTATTTATAATTGGAATTAAAATTTAAAAGGGTCCCTATCGAATATAGTTGTTGTATGCCAATCTTTTTTCACTTTTTGTTCACCGCATTCTGCTATAACTTGTTAACACGAACTGCCTCGTCTTTTATGTTCGAATAGAGTATAAAAAATACTTTAACTCCTGTTAGCATCTTTATGACTGTTCCACAATCATGACCGCCGACCTGTTGACAAGGTCGATGTCCGCTTTTCGCGTGTTGTTTTCCAAACTTGAAGTTGACATCATCCATCAGTGGTCGAACAGTTGCTGCTCTCACGTCCTTTTCACATCTCTCAGCTTTTTCATTCCGGAGCATGATTCATCATCGTCATCATCATTGACAGCATCTATTCATTCAAATGATGAAACAGTTTCCTTAGCAGCGTACAGGCAAATTTGATCCTTGGGATCTCACGTGATTTTGGAACACTAACTAAAACACTGCAAGCGGCAGCTCACATGGTGGGCACACAGTTGAGACATTCGCTTCCAAACTGGACCCCGGAATCGTATTCGCATGGATTCATGGCGCGACACAAAGTTTCGCGCGAGGACCCACGCGTGTTGCGCCATGAATCCATGCGTACGATTCCGGGGGTCCAGTTTGGAGGCGAATAGCTCAACCATGAGTTCATTTAAGCTGCCGCTTGGGCATTGTCTTAGTTAGGGCCCCAAAATTACTTCCCACATCAGAACCCGTATGTCCAGATTTGCCTGGACCCTGCCTTTAAGCAAAAATCTTTCATATGAAAACCTATGTTTCACCGGCTTTGTTTCCCATTTACACCATATAGTGGACATGATTATTACAACTATTTGGCTAGTATACCCGCAGCTGGACGCTGTACTGTGGAACGTGACAGACAGCTGATGAATAACAAGAGCAGCTGGCATTCTTACTCGATCTGGCTACCATTGTAATACAGTAATGTGATTAATGAATTCACCACCTGATGCTCTCTTTTATTACTGACTTCCTTGCATAAGAGACTTTACATTCTTTAAACAAACCAAATACGCCCCTGTTGTGACGTTTTGACTTTTCCCGCTTTCCTTCCTTCAGTGTTATCAGTTGATGGAAACCAAAATTTAATTCTAAGCCAAATTATCCTACTCATTTTCTCCTCTTTCACAACACCTTTGTAGGCCTCCATATCGATTAGACATCTAATTTTTTCTTGTGTTTGAACATTTTTTCTGTCAGATATCCGCAAGTGCACATTTTGTACCACATCGCTCCGATCAATTGCCTCTTCATACTGCCTTTGACGTCAACGATGTGTCGATTATATTCGCTAGCATATGAACATCACCTTCCACAAAAATGGCACAGAGATCTCCCAGTCTCCTCATTTTTGATTTACTATAACCGTTCCTCAAGCTGAGATTTCATCTGGTTTTGCTTTTAACTCAATACACCTATAAAAATTATATCTTCGAGCGTCTAAGCACTGTTTAGCTAACGGGAAGCGACATCGAGATATTGTCTTTTTATGATGCGCAAGAACTTGACTTCATTGTGTCTGCGTCTCTTTCGATTAGATCGCAGTTTCATCGTGAAATTGCGGCGCCTGTGCACAGTCCGCAATGACGTCAGTCCGTGCGCAGGGAAATCATTCATGGACTTGCAGATAAACTCGTAAAAAAAATTGCAGTATACTAAAAAGCTCGAAATTGTAGAGCACTTTCTCCAGTAACAATTCGTACGTATGGGTTAGTTCCAATCTCGCAAAAATCTGCAAATTAATCTCGAACTTGTTGTAATGTGTAATTTTCCATGTCTTGAGAACCTTTTTCAGCCGTTTCGAGTGTTTTTCGTTCTTGGAACATACTAATTAAATGTGCGAGTTCAGCCAAGAGTAAATGGAGCTTTCTAAGCGTTCGAGGGGTTTGTTGGTGAATTTTTCCTCAATTCAAACATTATTTTGCTTGTCTAGTCTTCGAAATGTTACATATCTGGCCCCTAATCAAAGAATCCTCCATTGTCTCAGTAACGCTTATACTAACTTCTGTGTCAGCTTTTGCCCCATATCTCCTCTTTACTCTCCCTCTCGCCGGCCACATCGACTCGGTCTTCTCTAAGTTGGGGACGCTAAAAGTGCTTGTTAGCCGAGTCAACGAGGCATAATGTCATGTAAAGAGGCTTTCGGGGGAGGCTTTACATCGAGTGAGGAGAGAAGCTCTGGAAATCTCAATTTTGCGCTTCGCTTTCAGGCTCGCAATTTACCATGAAGGCGTCACACAAATCCCGAGCTCAATTAGCCGTTTAGGAATGTGCTAGAAAGGCCGTCAGGCCTTCTTCGAAATGTGCGAGGATGAGGGCGTAAAAAACTGCGGTTGGGCTTGAGTATCGAACACTCATCATGGCGGTTGAATACGCAGCGCGCGTATCGATCGAGCGAGGCTGGCGCCCCATCCCCCGTTCTGCCTTGTTTGTTGGGGTTTTCTGTGGAGCAGCTCTCTTTCGACGCTACTCCTTTCATGCTCGATTACACCCGATTACCCTACTTAATTTTGGGTTGTATGCGCGAAAACGATTGTTTGCTGCTCTTTGCACTCGACATAACCATTTTGCCTTCTTCTTATCAGCTTTACGGTTGACTCATGAGACGTAATGAGCGCTTTGTCGCATCGACTCGAGTGAAAGTGTTAGTCAGCTTGTCTTCAAGCATAGATACGAACCTTGACATCGCCTAGCGAAACCAGATTTTTCGAGGTCCCGTCATGTCGGGATAGACGTCAATCTTGTAGATCCGGGAATCGATCTCTCTTAGCTGGTTTGCCCGTTTCTTAGTTTGGTCCAGCATCCATAGCGCTCATTCATCTCCTTTGTTCTCAACCTTTTCAGTTAGCATCGTCTCACAAACTCAATACACGTAAGCTTTTGGTTTGTTCGAGAATGCAAAAAAGGATCTTAAGTATCTTGACCACGTGTATAAACTAGTTATCAGCACTTTGTATGACCTCCCAGCTCGTGCCCTGTTTCGAAAATTCAGTTCAAGCCTTCGATTAGTCATTCGGAAAGCGAATAAAAAACCATATTTGTACTGTTTATAATTCGTGTTTCTCTCATTTACTCGATCCCGCTGTATTCGACTTTTCTGCAGTAAACCAGTCTAGCTCTTATGTCATAATAAACCATACTTGAGATATTTACGGATTGGTGATACCATTTTTTGTTGGACTTCATTTCGACTACCGTACTTTGACTTATGTTCAGTCTACGTTTCGAATGTGACGATGAAGCCCGTTAGAGCTTCATTAATTTACAAAATCGGCAGCATGCTTTAGTTTCTGTCAATTTTACACTTTCAATAGCATCGTACGCTTTTTGAGTCCAGTCACTGTGCGTGTAGGGTGCCAGTCTTCTACCAGCTGTTTCAGATGCGCTAGCATGGCCGATAACAACGTCACTCACGGTAATACATTCATCCGTTCAGCGTCAGCCCAAGGGCTTGCTGGCCTTTTTACCTGGGCTGCCTTATTAATCACAAGCCACCAGGTATTTACATGCTTTTATCTTTGTTTTTCATTCAGAATCAGCTTAAAGGAAATGCAGGCCAGGCATTTATGCATCTATCTTTTCTTTAAATGAAGATTGTTTGTTCTTGGGAGCCTAATGCGATCGTTTTTTGATAATACAACCCACATGCTCATGTTTACTCCAACATTTCTGATATCACAAATTTATTCAGCCGTTTTTATGAAGTGCAACCATTCAAATCTATCCTTTCGCCCGAATCACTCGAAGTTATTGATTTGTAGAAACCATGATAGTTGCTTCAGGAAGAGATATCCACTCATCGTAGTCAACGAAACTAAGTATGCGGCTTTAATTGGTCATAACTTGTAGCGTATATTTGCCCGATGCTAGCTGACACAACCGATATAGGGAAATTGGAGGATCTATATTTTGTATACAGTAGCCTCATCTTTAGTATCAAGATGCTGTTCTATATTTCGAGAAGACAAAATTGCTCCTTCACTAGATGTCAAATGCACTGAGCATACGTAGCAGATGGCTGCGTTTCGAGCCACTTTCCAAAAATTGCGTATATTTCAATTTTATTTTTTTTATTTTTATATTTTATATTAGATTTATCAACATCTCCGGTGGTATTCATGTCCGACAGAACAGAGGTGGATTGTGCGCATCCTTTTCATCGTACCAATATACGCATTCGATTCGTGGTTGAGTCTCATATTCTTCTCGGACAATGTGTACATTTATTTCAATTCTATTAGGGACTGTTACGAAGGTGGGTTTTATGACTTAATGAGAATAACCTTATTGTTTTGGCTTTATTTGAACTTAGCAGCTTTAAATTTTGTTACGTACAGTTTCTAAGTGCAAGACATTGCAAAATTTTACCCGGTGTTTGTTGCAACCTTCTGGTGGCCTAATGATAGAACAATTTTTAGCATTCGTAATCTATTCATTTCTATCGTTATGCTACGAATATCTCGGGGGAGAAAGTAATATTATGGCAGAAATACGAGGAAAGCCTATCAAGTGAGTTTAGATACAGACCACTCAAAAAAAAACCATGATAATCTCTAATATTGTCTAGGCCAACGAACTATTACACTTGTACTTGCTGTCTTGCTGGGAAACAGTATACGATTGAATTCTTGCGTTTCTGCAAGCAGGTAAGCTGCCGCATTTTTTTGTTGTTGTCGAAGTTCGTATGCTAAACCATGAAAAAATACTTCGGTGACAGTAGCAGTGAGAATTTAGCGTGATTTTCTGTTTTTCTTCATATATGTAGGCGTTTGGAAAGTATATCGTTACACTGCTTTTTAGGCTACTCTCCAATTCTGTTTCATCAAACCAGTCATGGCTGTGATCACCCTGTTCTTGGTTGGTATGGGCAAATACGAGGACGGAAACTGGAGGTAAGAAAACCACGAGTGTACGATTGTTAGGACATCTGGAATGTTGCTTTACTATATAAGCAGTACAGTTCTGTTTTTGTGCGTGAATATGGGAAGTGTGTAGATAGAAAATGAAAAACGTTAGCTTGAAATAGTAATGACACAAATTAATTTTTGGTCTTAGCACACTTTCTCCAGTCGCTAATATGGTTGTTGTTCAGAGCGGATCAAGGTTATCTCTACATCACCCTCGTGTACAACGTTTCGATTTCTCTTGCCCTCTACGGACTGTTTCTTTTCTACACAGCGACCAAAGAGCTTTTGAGTCCCTACAGCCCGGTGTTGAAGTTCTTAACGGTCAAAAGCGTGATCTTCTTGTCATTTTGGCAAGGTCAGTCCTAAGCCTCAGTCGGATGCTGTATAATCATAATATTACTTTTGCGGTCAAAAACGTTGCTTTATAGGTTTGCTCATTGCTATCTTGGGAGCCACATCTGCCATTGATCCAGTTGTGGATTCCAATGGAAATGTCGTTATCAACAAAGGTAAAGGGTTGATGAAATGCATGCTTGTCGTATTCGTTTCTCATTCAAGGGACCGTTGCTGCGGGATATCAAAACTTCTTGATTTGCATCGAGATGTTCTTCGCGGCAATCGCTCTTAAATTCGCATTCGGTGTTTCCGCTTATGCAGACGCACATTCAGGTAAAGCAGATGTCTGTATTCTTTCGTTTTTTTCTTTCTCTTATAAAGTACTGAAGATTGGTGGTGTTGCTTTCTTGCACAAAGATTAGATCCTGGTGATCTTTGATGGACTTCATGAAGACTTTCTTCTAGGATCTGGGGTAATTTTCTCAAAAAAGAGAAATGATTGAAAAGCGAAACGTTTGAGAAGTCAGCAGACATTCGTATTTTCCAGTCAGCCATTCGAATGATGGGCGTCCGGTCACGCTGCAGTCTATCAGTTCATCTTTGAAGGAGACTATGAATCCAAAAGATATCATGCAGGATGCTATACATAACTTCCATCCTCAATATCAACAGTACACCCAGGTATGTACCACTCAAACTATTTTGTCTTCTTTCATGTTCAACAAAAAGTATGTACGGCTTTGTAGCGTTTTACTAAAAGAAATACTGCCATAAGTTCCGAGCTCTAGTTGTTTTGATAGTAAATACCAAGCCTCCAGCAGAGTGTGACACTCACCACCCAAAGTGTTTCGAAAATTTTTCGAAATTAACAGGAACATAGTTTTCTTGAGTATGTCTCTAAGATGTTTGTCATGAAAGTATGCTTTCAAATGAATTATCTTGGTAGCAGATTCTAATTTCCCTTTTTGACTACTCTCTCCAGTGTTTTTGTGACTGTCAATTTTTGCCTTGTTCGGCTCGGTAGTCAGAAATGAGTGATATCAGACAAGTGTATGTACCATTATTGTGCTCAATATCGCATTCCTATCGAGTGAGGATCACAAAGGTTTTTTCCCATTGTGCAGCTATTGCCGATATCGCTTCACTTTATTCTCAAGCTCATACTGTCGACGCTAATCAATCTCTTTCAGCATTCCAACCCGCAGCGCTCGGTCAGTGGTAACCTGCAATCAGGTTTTTAGTTTGTATCCTTACTTTTGTTCCATTTGCTTATATAGGTCCTACTAAGGGCAAGAGTCTAGTCGTTTTTTTGTCTGCATGCTTCGCTTTGTCTGCTGTGTCAGCTTTTGCTGTGTTGTAGTACCTTGAAAATGATGACCAAGCCAAATTATCATACCTATGTTGTTCGTGGTTAGTGTTTGACGGCTTAAGGGTCAGTCAAGCAGCAGCAAGATGCCGGACGTCAACGAGTCGAACAACGCTGGTCCAGAGGAGACGACCACGTTCCAGTCAGACGCCCAACGAACGACTATGGATCAGTGGCCCTCCATGCCGCATCAGCGATCCGGCTACAATCCACTGCTTTGAATGATCAACCCCTACTTGACCTCTAGTCTTTGCAATCAATTTTTGGTGCGTTTTCCATCCCTTGCATGTTTCTTCCTTTTCGATCGACGATCTGAACCGTGGTAGTGAATCGTACCGGAGACACTTCATGAGATATTGTTTCTTTTGTGCGCAGAAGAATTTGTTGAAGCTTAGTTTTTATGAGTTTCTGAGTTGCTCTCTAGCAGTTCCTGTCTTACTGGCGATATCTCGTGAGTTCGTCGTGTTTTGAAAACAGGCTCCAACCACTCTCACTTGCGATTCTTTTTTTCTTGTGTTATTGCATGTATGGGGACTCATGACTGCGACGTAGATAGCATACATTTATTTGTGTTTTTGTTTTTCCAAGCAAACTTTGAATTCAGGCAGCGGGGGCGAGTACTAGCCAAGACGAGCAGCGATTAGCGAGTAGTTCTGGCGGAGCCAACTATTCAAGCATGGCCCATACTGGTGCTCACGGCGTCTCAACACCTACGACACCAGGTGTACCTACTGGCAATTTACTTGATGCATAGTCGTCATCTTGTTTGGTGTTGGGTCGTTACTGAATGTTCTCATTTCAACATCGTAGATATCATCATCATGTCTTGACGAGCTGGGTTTGAGAAGTTCTATCGTGTTGTCTTCTTTTCGTGTACCTGTGACGTTCTTCATGTTGTTGCTTTCATTTTTACTTTGTGAGCCATATTTCAGGATTAAACTCTTTTTCATCAGCGATCTGTTCGTGTTTGTCTGCTGTGGTGAATGCAGCTTTAGCAGTTCCATTCAACACTTCTTTATCCCATTGGAAGTCATTGTGTGCTACTTTCTGAGCGTCGTTTTCTGTCTGAGCTCATATAGGCTGCTGTACATTTTCTTTGTCCTAGAAGCTAACATTAATTTCTTTTGCATTTTTTTGTTGAGAGCTTAGTACTTAGCCCTCCTCATCAGTGTAATCTGTGGATATCATATCAAAAACCAACATTGTGCGAGTTGATTTCCCGTGAGCCTATCCTGTGAAGGTTCCAATAAATATCTCTGATCATCATTTGGATCTGCAGATGTGATAGGACAAAAGAACGTCGCATATCACCGTGGGACTCGTGTGATTCGCTTCCCACATCGTTCGTCGTATTTGTAAAGAGGTTGTCGGTGTAACATCTCAAAGGCTTGAAAAAATTTACATTCTGTTCACATGCTATTAAATGGGACAAACTAAAAGTTAGTGCACATCACTGAACGTTTCTGTTGCTGGGAGTTTGATATTAAGAAGTTGGAAAGAAGGTTCGCTCTGAAAAAGTAGTGCCTGATACATTTGTAACCCGTTACGCGCCTAGAAACGAGGACGCTTGACGTAGAACACAAGCGGTCGAATCAGATCAGCCAAACCGCGAAAGTGTACCAGTCGCACCCAGAGCGCGGGCAAACGGGTGGGGGAACGAAAGCCGCCAGGTCCAGCCGCCTTCGCGGACTGCTGTTCCTGGAACGACATGCAACAACGCTGCGAAAGGACCAGCTGGCCGCGAAAGGCGGCTGGACCTGGCGGCTTTCGTTCCCCCACCCCGGGCAAACCGTTTGTAGGCAGGCTGGATTTCGTTTTCGGGGCGAAGAAACAAAGGAAATATCGTTTTTGTGGGTCCGAGAAAACACAAGTTAGGTTGGGTTTTTTAGTCGACGGTTCCGAAAGGGTCAAAAGAAACTTCGTAAAGTTTTAAAGTGAAGGGGACTTCGTTCTCAGAAACACAAACGGACTTCTGCCAGGCCCTGGTCGTACCTTGATTTTCTGTAAAGCTACAGATAAATCCGTGATTCACGTTCATCGTGCTAATGTCATTCGATCCAAATATTTCTGTCGTGCATACATTATCGCGAATCGTAGTTAACTCATTAGATTCATCGGCTTTCATCAGCCTGCTCATTAGATCCTTCGGTTTTTATCTGCATGTTTTCATATCGCTCGCCATGACAACACGAAATATCATTTGATTGCAAGAGAGTCGTATGGTATATAAGTCGAGTGAGGATTCATTACTTCGCTTGTCGCCCTATGCAATACACGCCTTTCGTTCGTCATCTTCGCCTATCTACCTCAACTGGGGACCACGGCAGGATTCATCTTGCACGGTAACTTGACGACGTACCTTTTCTGCAATTCATCATAGTAGACGGTATCATTGAAGGTTTGAGATACTGTTCATCATCCGGCTAAGAAGGGTCGTCTAATATTCCAACTGTTTCAAATCTCCAAAACTTGTTGACCAACTCAACAAGTTCCTTGTGATTTGGAGGACTTGACGCATCGTCTATCTCACTGTGGAGTAGTCCACGTCCTTCAACCCATCCAAGACCAACTCAAGGATTTCATGTAGCACTCAGCAGAACACCTCGCCCACAGAAGGTTCCAGGTGAAAGGGAAAAGTACCGTAAGTGCCTACCATGTGACTCTACCGTTCATTCAACATTAAAGTGCCTTCTCCACAACGAAAGAGCGTCTAGATAACTTCTCATAATATAAAAGGTTGTACGTCAAAATTCCGCTGCATGTTTTGCTCAAGAAAACACCATTCATCACTGAGTTTTCAATCGGATCGCTCTTAGACGGCTTCTACATCGTCTGGCCGCAACGACCACACTCCCACGCAATCGGCACGCCGCCAAAATGTGATATCTCTTCAAATCGATCATCGAGGTAGCAGAATCACACAGTGTACTTAGAGAGCCCAAAAAAGAGATTGTTACTTTTTCTATTGATCGGAATAAACAACTGATTGACTCACAGATCAATGTTCCTACAATACAGTTACTTGCCCAACCAACAATGTAACAAACCTAACGACTCAGACTGCACTGGTGTCGCTACGAATACAAGTCGTTGCCGAAATCATGAATATTACCTCGATAAACGCATACATCCTGTGAAGTAGAAGCAAGCGACCGTGTGGAGTGCTACAGCTACATCAGCGGTGCTGAGCTCCGTTTATCATGCAAAAGCATGAAAGATGACACGTTAGTCTATGTCTTGTGCCCGTACTGAAAGCAAGTAAAAAGATGCAAACGAATGGCTTTCTAAACGAAATAAAACTCTATTTCAACACTTCATTAATTTTTATGGATTGTGTAGTATGCTGCTCCAAAAAGAAAAGTTTTAAAACAATTTATGGGCACCTACACTACATCAATGACAACATAATCGAGGACGACTCGCTAGCCGACAATCAACCTGGCAATACCGAAGACAACACTTACTGGGATACATTAAGTAATCAGTTCAAAAACCTCCTGATGTATATTCCTGAAGTCATAGTACAGCATTTGAAAATGATTACTTTCCCTAATGTACTCGCCCTCCTTCTTTTACGCACCTTCTTATTGCATTATAAGACGTTCCTTCTTTCTTCGTACTATCCAAACGCTGATTGCGTTAAAGGCAGTGGCTCGGCAAATCTCAACCTAGTCAAATTTGCGCTTGCCTGGGGGTTTTCAATACCCTGATCCCGAAAATCCACTTCTGAGAGCTTGAAAACGGCGAAAATGAGCGTTTTTTGATGCCCTTCGCTTTGATATTGGGCGAGTGAAACAAGCCGATGACGCTAAATCGTGGCAGGACCCAATGGTTATAGCGTTGCGAGGGACAGCCTCGGGTGGGGGAACGAAAGCCGCCAGCTTCGGTCGCCTGAGCGGACTGCTGGTCCTGGAACGACATGCAACAGCGTTGCGAAAGGACCAGTTAGCCGCGAAAGGCGTCTCAAACTGGCGGCTTTCGTTCCCCTATCCGACAGCCTCCAATGGTGAGAAGGAAATTGCCAACTCGTCCAGATGCGTGTAAGACTGGCCTATGCGTGTAAGTTCAAGAGCGATTTCCTCGGCAAAAGCATGCTGTGCAACCGGGATTGCACTGTTTTCATAGTGGGGCGATAAGGAACCTACCGCGTTAAAATCCCAAGTTGTTGGATTTTGCCGATCCACTGCCTTTAAAGGCAAAGACATCAAAGGAATCCGCGTGCCTTAGGGCGCGTCAATACGGAAGTATTAGGAGTAAACGACCGCTTCACGAGGCAAGTGCGTAACGCGCTCAGGTTTGCTCGAGTTTAGAGCAAAAGTGCGGCTGGTATACCTGAAAACAGAAATTGAGAGGCAGCGTTCAGTAAAACCTCGATAGAATGTTGCTCACTTGAGCCTTGGCTGTGGTCACTTGATAAGAGTTGAAAGCGGTCGACCAAGATTTTTAGCAAGTTTATTGACAACACTATTTACGCTTCGACACTATCGCCAGAGCCTAAAAGTCGAGGACATAAGGATCTGTCCTCTAATGCCGACAAAAGACTCAGCGTACTAACCAAGAGAAAGCCAATGGAAAACCCAGTCACATATACAGAAGGAACACTCAGACTAAAAGCAAAACGAAAGTGAGAAATCGCCATTATGTAAGTCTATGCCTCAGCTTCACTTACCCATACATGCCGCTCTGATCTGACTTCAATCAAATCCGCATAAGGATTAATATGGGCCGGTTCTTCAGCAATAGCGATACATTTCTCCTTTCTATTCATTTTTGGATTTTCGGCATCCGTCCACAACCTTCCCAACGTCTTGCGCGTGAGGATTTCAAGTTCGAACGACAAGATTTCCACCGCAATTGGTATTTTAGCGTTATCATGGGGCATTATACGATGCTTCACTAATAGTGTAGCTGCTTTTGATTTATGCAAGCCATTTATACGCTCGCCCGTTTCACCAGTGTATGTATCCCCGCAAGCTCAATATGAACTCCTTCAGGGATAATGCGTTGTATCTCTGGCAATGGGCTTTCTTAAACGCACAGTCAACCCAAACTGTGGATGGTGAGATTTTGTGCTGTATAATAGCGGACCCTCCAACTAGGTAGTCGTTCATGTCCGGCTGCAAAAGGTGTATTCCGAAGAAATCGCTTTAGACGAAGCTAGAGACAGGGGCGGTACTCCGATCATGCCACCATGCCTCCGATTGGGCGTTCTTCCGCTCCCATCTGTCCGTGCTCGCTCATCAATCTGGAGTCGTATTCGGAATCAGAGACATGAGAAGGATCTGGAACAACAAATAATGGAAGTTGAGATGGGTGGACGGTGCCTTTAGTGTCGTGGTCAGGGAGGGGGTGAATGGCTGTGTCGTATACTCAGTCCTCAACAGTTAGCAAATTCACTTATCTGAAGCCAAAAATCTACGTTAGAAAGCGCGAAAACAGCGAGAACGGCGTTTCCCGCAGCCTTACATTTTGAAAATAGACGGTTGCCCCCAAGGCTGAGAGTCGCTGCGGGACTTACGACTTGAACTGTGGCGGCAACTCTGCCGCAAAGCAAGCATTCAAACAGGTGGGTCCCTTCCCCAGAGCGTAAGTTTCCCAACTTTCTGACCATATTGCATGCTTTTGATCAAGCGTTATGGTCTCGTACTTGCGTGATGGAATCTCTGGGGTGGGGGGCACTTTGCATGGCATATTCCAGAACCTCACCTTGTCTGGACACTGCCTTTAAGTTGGGTCTTCTTATGGGCGGGGGGGGGGGGGGGAAGTAAAGCTTTGTTTGGGGTGCCGTACTCATACCCAACCTATACATATATAAAGCTGAGTGTTGGCAAATTGTTAGTGTGTTCCTTATAGAAACTTTGTGTGTGGACCAGGGTCAAGCGCGTTGATGCGATCCTAGACTCTCTTCTACGACCCCTCCCCCAGAAGTTACCTATCAGTACAACCCAGTGGCGTACCCAGAATTTCGGCTCGGGGGGAGGGGCGACAAAAAAAATTTTTGTAATGAAGGTGCGTGGCGTCAGCCACGCATTCCGAAAATTTTTTTGGGATGTTTCTCAAATTTTTTTTCGTGCTACGCCACTGGTACGAACCCCCCCCCTCCTCACCCCCCCCCCCCCCCCACCTACCCCTCTCACTTCCTTTTGCGGTAACATAAATGAATGACAATCTCAAAAGATGCCTCAATCAAAATTATAGTTCAGAAATAGATAATTATTAGGTTGTCAAGAAAATAATGTCGTTTTTTATTTGCTTGTTTTAGCAAAGCGACCAGGCTCAATCCAACAAAGGGTGATGGGTATTGTTCGATAGTGCAAAGCAAGCTCTACAAGATGGCACTCATGCCTTTGCGCCATGCTCGATCCACGGAGAGTTCGAACTCAAAATCTGAAGATTTCCAAATGCCCAAAAAATCGAAAAAAAAATCAGATCTTCGTCCAAATAATTTCTACGGACCTTTCACTCGCACACGTCAATACTTTCGATATCTGATATCCATATGTGCAGCTGCTGTACATTTTCTTTGTCTAGAAACTGAGAAAACGAAAATTTTCGTGTTTTTCTAAAAGCAATGCTGAGCCGTTCTTGCTATGTGATTCTATACTACTAGCCTAGGTAAGTATAAATATAGATTTTCAGCCTATTCCGAGCGATAGTTTTCGAGAAATGTCGCGTTTAGCACTGAAACTGAAAAGAAGAGAGCTAATTTCGATATTTCTCGAAAACTACTGCTCGGAATGGGCCGAAAATCTATAGATATACTTACCTAAGCTTGTAGTATAGAATCACATATGCAAGAAAGGCTCAGCGTTGCTTTTAGAAAAACACGAAAATTTTCATTTTCTCAGTTTCTAATTGAGGAAAAAGTACAGCAGCTGCACAGACGGATATCAGATATCGAAAGTATTGACATGTGCCAGTGGGAGGTCCGTAGAAATTATTTGGACGAAGATCTGATTTTTTTCGATTTTTTGAGCATTTGGAAATTTTCAGATTTTGAGTTCAAACTTTCCGTGGATCCAGCTTGGCGCAATATTATGAACGTCATCTTGTAGAGCTTGCTTTGCTCTATCGAACAATGCCCATTACCCTTTATTGGGTTGAGTCTGGCTGCTTTGTTAAAGCAAGCAAATAAAAAACGACATTATTTTCTTGACAACCTAATACTTACAAATTGGGAAATAGTGCAAGTAATGCTTCGCTTCAAAAACCAACTCACAAATAATTCTGCGTAGATTGGGTAAGTAGTAAAATCCCACGAAGGTTTGGCTATGCTTGTTGTGGTTGGGAAAATATGAATGGAAAGGACATCGTCTGACAAAGCAGAACATCGATTCAGATCTGAATGATAATTAAGCTTTACTTTAAGGTTTACAAATTATTGCCGGTCACCATTGGTAAAGATACGGGATTTTGTCGAGTGTGTGAGACTTCAGTGGAGCTTCGGAAGCAGAATTTCTGAGCCAAGGGGTACGTGCAACATCTCTGGCACGCATACACATTTTCAATAATGTCTGGGTTGCTGCAAGTTTTTTTTTGAATTTTCAAGCATACTTCTGGCCAGCAAATACGGTCCCCGTACGCAACACCATTTTTTTGCAGGGAGAAAAACGATATCTTTGAAATGTAAAATATGTTTTCGACAAAAAGGCTTACTTCCTACCTTTTGTACAAATTTTCGTGCGAAAAAAACTGTTTTAGCGCCATCCGGAACGATATCAAAAACGTGCATCAGTACGGTATTTTGAAAATTCGTAACTAAAGGCAGGGAAAGACTGAGAGGCTGCAAGAACAGGCTTTGTAGTATAGTGCCCATAGTATCCACGGAAATAGTTTCAGCCATTGAGGAGCAGTAAGCTCGAAAAAATCTAGATGCGACTCTCGCAAACTTAACAGGGAAGATATATGAGTCGCAGTGGAGTACCCTTATAAAATGTACACCAATCGAAAGGTCTTTGAACGCTTATTTTGAACCTATTTTCCTTATCTGCTTATCGGTTTACTGAACAAATTTGCAGACATTTGTTTGGCCTCAAATGACACTGATTTTGGTTGCTTTTTGCATGACTAAGAGTAGCTTCAAAACCATTTCCATCAAATTTTTTATGTACAATCAATGTATCTCAGAAATTTGGGC